CACGTACCCTGGGGGGGCACAGGCGCCAGCGGAAGGGGAACCCGGGGGGTGGTGACGGGCGGCACGAAGTCTGCCTGGAGGCACTAACGAGCGGTGTGCCCCGGGGGTCGCGTGCCGCTGAACGCCTCCGTTAACGATCTGCGTGGTGGGGCAGAGCTCACCCTCAGCAAGGTCGCTGGTGACACCAGGCTGGGAGGAGGGGCTGATAGGCCAGAGGGTCGTGCTGCCATCCAGAGGGACCTGGACAGGCTGGAGAAATGGGCTGATGGGAACCTCACGCAGTTCAACAAGGGGAAGTGCAAAGTCCTGCGCCTGGGGGGTAACAGCCCCAGGCACCAGCACAGGCTGGGGGCTGCCCAGCTGGAAAGCAGAAAAGGACCTGGGCACCCCAGTGGACACCAAGCCAGACACAAGCCAGCAACGTGCCCTTGTTGCAAAGAAGGCCAACAGCATCCTGGGCTGCATTAGGAGGACCGCGGCCAGCAGGTCAAGGGAGGTGATCCTTGCCTGTGCTCAGCGGGAGTGAGGTCATAGCTGGAGCGCTGTGCCCAGTGCTGGGCTCCCCACTACCAGAGAGCCATGGAGAGCGTCCAGTGAAGGGCCACCAAGATGATGAAGGGACTGGAGTATCTCTCCTAAGAGGAAAGGCTGAGAGAGCTGGGCTTGTTCAGCCTGGAGAAGAGAGGGCTCAGGGGGATCTCAGCAATGTGTATAAATATCTGCAGGGAGGGTGCAAAGAGGACAGAGCCAGGCTTTTTTCAGTGGTGCCCAGTGACAGGACCAGAGGCCGTGGGCACACACGGAAACACTGGAGGTCCCCTCTGAACATCAGGAAACACGTTGTCACTGTGAGGTTGCCCAGGGAGGTGGCGGAGTCTCCATCCTTGGAGATGTTCAAAAGCCATCTGGACATGGTCCTGGGCATCTTGCTCTACATGGGCCTGCTTGAGCAGAGGTTTGGACCAGATGACCTCCAGAGGTCCCTGCCAGCCTCAACCATTCAGTTGTTCTGTGAATTTCACAGGGCACGTTCTGTGCAGTTACGCTCACCAGTTAAACTTCAGTCAGTGGCTATGTGCCAGAACAAAGAACTGAAAGTATTTATTCAGTGTTTATCCATGGTGTTACACTTTTTTTTCTGCTCCACCAAAGCATCCAGCTCTCCGCAGTGAAATATGGAAGAGGAGGGTGCTGAGACCCAGTGCAACATAGTGGTTTTCCCAGGTGAGAACTGCAGGTACAGTTCATGAAAACCTGGAAGATGTTAAGAGTTGTGGAGAAGCTTCAGAACGAATCAGGGGGGCACTTGGTGCACATTACTGAGTTACTTGGACTATTCAGTCTTTTGAAGGATAGGCAGTTTTGTTCTATCTTTGCTCTCGTTATGTCAGAAGTGAATACGCCGTACAAAGTGTTACAGCAAAGAAATACGAACAGTACAACTGTGTGGCCTCAGCAGTAGCAGCTTTTGAAAACGTGACTGCAGCTGTCCGGCAGCAAGGCAGAGATTTGGCAGCACCTCACAGACATGACTTGACAAGCTCCTCAGGTAAAAAAAAGGTTATGTAGGCGAGGTGTGTCAAGTTACGAAGGAAACTGTTGATGCAATAGTTGCCCAGTGCAAAAGATGCATTTTTGGAGGGTGATCTGATTGCCTTCAAGCTGGCTGATGTGGAGTTAAGCGTAGCTCTCTAAGAGGTAATCTGTTACAAATAATTACTTAGACATTTTTTGTTGCTTAACAATAAAATGTTCTCATCTTGTTAACGCTAGCCTGGTAATGGATGTCCTATGTTGTTCTTTCTCTGCACAGTGTTTTTCTGTTAAATCTCCACTGCGTACCCACACTCATGTGTCTATTAAATGATTTTCCACTGAGATCCCCACCACCTAAGAAGTGTTGGAGCTGCCGTTACCTTGGGCATTGTCCTGCCGTCCAGGTTTCCAGTGCTTAATCTGCGTGTTGGCCTCAGCAGCTGAAGCTGGTTCTGCCAGCTGTTGTCACCTGCACTCGGGCAGAGAGAGGCAGGCGGCAGGGGAGGGAAGGAGGGCGGTGGGCAGGTCGGCAGCCTTGTGGTCGCGGCCAGCGGGCGTTTCACCTGCACGTCCCCTGGTCCCCTGTGGTCCTAAAGCTAAAAAAGGCTTCAACAACTTGTTTACGCCATTTAATCCTCCATGACTGTACATACAATGTGAACTGTGGACAGGCTAGTTCTTACTGTATTCGCTGTGTCACCGTGCAGGCGTGCAGTATGCAGGGCATGCTCATGACCAGACGATTACATGAAACATGGTCATCACTAAAACGTGTTAAAAATCAAGCCTATTGCTGTTTGGTTTTGTCAGATAATACGCGTAGCCCTTTCTTCCTGGGACACATAGGCTTGAACCCGCCAAAAGGATATAAACGTATCTTACTCTGAAGGACAGTGCTCTAGCACAGTTTAAATAGAAGAAAAATCTAATGCTTTTAGGAAAAAAATACTAAGAAATATTTATTTGGTATTACCACAGCTTCATAAACAAATAAAAAATAGGCTAAAACTTAATGAGCTAATATTAAAATTGACTTCTTCACACTGTGTGGTCCCCCCGTCCCCCGCCTCCCCCTCCTGCCTTAGATTTGATTTCTGCAACGTTTTTAGTTTCTCAGTTACTTTGCAAAGCAATTTCTGGTGCATAATGGGCTACTATTGGACAGCAGCTTGAGAAGCACTGCTGATGTTCTGTTAAGGCATCGCTCACAGCGGCAGTTTGAGAATGGCACAGTACCACCGTTGCGACTTAAGGTTGCTCTCAATCAGTCCACTTAAATCAGGACACAGAAAGCTGTTGTGTATTTGTTTAATGTTACATTTGACAATTGCATGTTATTTTTTTCCTTTGAATTCGTACGGCTTTTTAATACCAATATATTTGATTAATGGCTTCTCTGTTAAAACAATATTTAGTAACAGAACAAAAGTTACACAGCCTGTATCAGTATTTGTGGCGACAACAAAAATTATTTTCCACATCCTTTTCAGATGGAAAAAATAATTAAAAAAATTGTTGGAAAACTGAGTTTGTGGAGTTACAGATTTGATCATCTGACATCCATGTCTGACCACAACAGGGGAAGCATGTCTTCTTTTCTGCAGATGCTGTTACTGCATACCAGTCTCATTTCTTGGTGCTAGAATTCACAATATCTTGAAACTAACATGCCTAAAATGAAGCATGGGCTACAGACATGTCAGTTTTAATCCCCTTCATTACTGTAGAATGACTTCATGGAGTATATGGGCATCCAGTCACGGCATTTTTTCTAGTGCTGTAAGAAATACATCTCAAACTTGAATTTTGCATATTTCCAGCCTGAGGAAGTCAGAGACAGAAGTAGGTCACAAAGCACGCTAGCTCAGGCACGCTGCAGCTGCACGCACTTCTCAAATATCTGCTGTCCCTGACATCAGAAATTGAATGACAAAGCAATCAAAACCTGACAGCTTTTGAACACTTTAAAGCAGTATGTAGTGAAGGTATAATTGCTGGTGAGGATAGGACTCACGTACGTCTGCAGCGAAATTTCAAGATTGCAAATAATGCCTTTGGTGAGTGACAGGGACACTGGTCTCTGAAAGCCGTGTGTAACCCGGTGAGGTGCTTCCATTTGCTGCAACTGCTGCGGAAGGGGAAGTGGCAGGGAACGGGCACTGCGCTACAAGCATCTCCAGCAGAGAATTCCCTCACTGTGTACACACTGCCCGCAGCAAGTCAGGTGTCTGCAGCCAGACTCTATTTTTACTGTTAAGGGTGTCTAGGGAAGAAAAATAGTAAAACAATCCAGCAACAAGAGCCCCGTGCAAGTGTGAAACAGAAATCAACAGTGGTTGTGGCACAGGCTGGTACATTTCCCCTGGGCTGAACGCCAATGCCCTAACTAGAAGTGGGAGCCCAAGAAAACGCAGATGGTTTGAGGTGACACAGCTCCTCTGTGTTTTACTGGAAGTGTTGTGTACAGATGCCAGCTTATCCAGACCTAGCTTACGTGTTCAGTTTTCTCTAACCTGGTGTTACGTGGCATAGTCTAAACATGCTAGAAATGCCTATATTATAACTGGACTAGTGAAGTCATTCAGGAGGCGGTGTATTTTCAGCTAGACTGGTGGAACAGCTCTGTAGCAGACTGCAGATAAAACACATGACAAAGAAAGGGGATGTGCAGTGAAATCTTGGTTGGTTCAACAGATATTCAAGGGAAGGGGGCAAGCTGAGAAGGATTTTCTCCACAATTTTTATAAGCAAGGATTCAAAAAATGGCATTCAAAATAAAATATAGGGGCTGTGGAAAAAAAAGAAAACCAAACATCTGTTCAAAATGGAATCATACTTCATGAAATGTGACTCTTAAGGTGGAAGTGACAGGTGTGAACTTTGAATGGCATAGAGAAAACAATGCTGTCCTTCATTTAGTTTCATAAAACTGGTATTTATTTACGATGAAAATTCAACATGCAGAATTAACCATACCATTCTTGGTATATGCCACTTTTGAAAGACTGTATACACCATTTTCCCAAAAGAAGTGGTCCATAGACTACCCCACTTCTTTCAGACTTAACAATCCAAAATGCTGTCTCTCACATACGTGTTCTCTGGACAGGCATTACCTCATGTCCATCCTGCAGCGACAACAGCTACAGAACTTTACTAACCAGAAGAAGCATCACTTTTGTTCATCTCAGTGGTAGAGATCTATACACAATCTTGACAGCCTGTATATCCTTAAAAAGATCCTGGGGATGTTCAGGGGGGTGAAAAAATCTTAAAGGATCTTAAAAGGATCTTGGGAATGTTCATCTTGGGGATGTTCATTCCTTTCTCGGGCATGTGGGATGTTCTAAAGGCGGCTTGAAGCAGTCATCCTGACTTGTATGCTCTTAAAAGTTTTTGGATGATGTCACCTAGACCCAAGCCTTGACTTATATGAATCTCTGCTTAGCTGGTGACAGGAGAACTGGCAAAATGGCAATAGAAAAACAGGGACTTCTACCCACCTCATTCCTTTATATTTGCAGAGACTGTATCTCTTAAGCATAGATCTCAGATTTACACCCAGACATTCTCTGGCCTTCTGTTTTAGCCTTGCAGAACAGCCGACAGCTGTGTAAAGTCAGAACTGTGTACAGTCAGTTTGTGTAGATCAAAAGGAAACATCAGTCATCTGCGTGTAACACAGTAATACAATGTTTGCACTGAATTCATAGCTTTCACTGAAGCTCGGGGATTTCTGTTTGTAAGAATTCCAAATGACTTAAAATACAGTGTCAAATAATCCATCATGGTTGTTCAGCTGCTCAATTATAGTCAGAAATAAAAGATGCCAACTCCCCTTCATCACACAATGGAATAACAATAATAAAAAATATTTTAAAAAATGGGAGTTTTCTCACCATTCATATAAATGGCTTAACTTTCACATCTACCTTCCTGCTCTTCTGTAGCTCCTTCCACTCAGAGTATGTGCCATCACAGACCTTACCAACAATCTAGGTAAGATGCACAAGCAAATCTGAATTCCGTGTTAGGTTGTATCCAAACTGCATTTCCCCCCCTGCCCCAAACAATACACTTTTTATACAGAGGACTGTCATATTAAATGTAATCACTCAAATCTTCTTTTCATGATCCCTACTGGATTTAAACTGCAGGTGATAGTAATAACGCTTTTTATTTCTTCTGAATAAAAGCGTTTCAATTACTAGCAATGGAATTTCCCTTTCTGCACATAAATCAAGACTTAAGTGTATCTTTCTCTGGAACGCTTCAAAAATACAGTACCAGCTAATTAGTCCTGAAATTACAACTCATCTTCTCAACTATCAAGGAGCACTACAAATACTGGAAACCAAAGGATCTTGGTAACTGAGCAACAGTGCCTTTTCTTAGTTTAAGAAAGTGCTTCCAAGTATGCCAAAGCCTAAAGTGAACCTAAGAGTGCAAAATATGCATGTATATATAAATACATGTTTGTGTCTGTGTTGGGAATTAATGAGTCTGGGTCCCTTAAGAGTCTCTAATCGGTGACTAAACAATGCATTTATTATGGGAAAGAGACTTTGCAATTAACAGCGTCTCTGCTGTGCTTATGAGTCATAATGAAGTAAGCCTTCTTGCGAACGTCTTGTAAGTAACAGAGAGATTACAGAATTACACTGGGTTGCAACCAGATTTTGTTTTGTGCCGTTTGTTCTAAAATGAAACACGAAAGAGAGCAGAGAGCTCTGCTGGGGAACTGCAAATCTCCGAGCTGCTTTTTTTGCACTTCTGGTTCATGCAAAATGAGAAACTGTGTGGTTTTCTAGAGCATTTGTTCTGGTATGCCGAACCACTGCTGAAGTGTCTGAACAGCAACTTCCTTTTTAAATGAAATCATATTTCTAATACAGCAAACAGACACCCAACGTTCAGTAGTAGCCAAGAAAACAATCCCACTCTGACAAGGTGCAATCAGGAGGAAATTTTATATAACACTGCAAGTAATAAATAAATTATGCATAGCAATACTAAATTCAGAATTAGCATATTGTGAAACAAAATACATTAGAATAGTTGAAGAAAGAATTAATTACAGAGTTAGGATATAAACAGTAATGCATCTCAGGCAGAAGCAAACAACAAAACTGAAGGAAAGGTAATTGTGGGCTGAGCTTGTTCAAGAGAAACAACGTTTACAGGTGGGAAAAAGCATCTGATCTCAGAGGATGACAATTTAATTACTTGCAGAGAACCAGTACAAGATTTATTCATGTTAAATCCCACCAAGTAGTAGGGCATTAGAGACACGGTTTGTATGTATGGCTTGAGGTCTGGACAGAAGTGCGTTCTACTGACTGAACAAGTTCCCCCTGTATCTTCCTGACGATTCCTAATTGCAATTCCACAGCCACTCAAGCAAAGGATGCTTCACAAACAGCAAAATTGAATAATTTCCTGAAATCTTGAAGTGGCAGAAATTCATAAATACATAAGCCTGTAACTATGTGGAAATTTCCTATGAAAGGTTATTTGCAAATCTATTCTAGGGAGGCATTACTCAGTCTTAGAGAAAGTAAAAAGCACATCTGGTAAACTGAAAGTTGACAGCAGAAAATCTGTGTGTTAAACACATACCGTATATTCATCCTGGCATCACAAGTTAATTGGCACCTACATTAATTACTGTTGTGAACTCTTTTTAGCTCTTCAGCACCACACCAAATCCCCTTGCACTTCCAAAGTTTAACCAAACACAACACGTAACCAGTTAACTTACCATTCTGAGTAAAAACTCAACCTTAACTACATTAACATTCTCTATAGACACATTTACAGATACAATCTGTTATTCTGCATATAGGAGACTAAGAAGCAGGAATTCTATTTCTGTATGTGACTTGAAATAAAAACAAAAAAGCGTGCGCGACTCTTCTAGTTTTACTTAAAAGTGCAAAGGAGACAGCTGTGGAACCAGAGAGTGAATACATTTGGGCAATTTGGTATTAAGAAGGTCTCTGAAGTTTTAAGCATGTGGAGAAAGTCATGCTTCATGCTAAATGACACTGCACTTCTCAGTCGCAGCTTCATCCAAGTCACACATCTCAAGAACACAGCTGTCTGACAGGTGGGTGAGACTTTGCAAGGCATTACCATAGATACATGAAGTTACGTTTAGGTAGAAGTCTACACGCGATTGTTAGCAACGCTCTTGTGCCTGTTCACATTATTTAATGAAAGCTAGATGAGAAAAGACAGCCTCGGAGGCATCTAGTAACAAGAGAATAGAAGAGCTTGTAAGAGTCCGCCTAAACATTTTCCAGATCATCCCTACAAGTAGTATCGTCTTCATTAGGGAAGGGCTATGTTCTCTCCCTCTTCAAGCCTCTTCCAGAAAACAACTGGTTGTAATAAATCTTATTACTGGAAGGATTTACTGCATTGAATTTAATATTGCAAATTTAAGATTGTCACCTAGAAGTTTACATACGGTAGAAAAAATTGTTCTTTGGGTATTTTTGATGAAGAAATTTTTCCACAAGGACAAACCACAGACTGATGCAAAACTGCTGAAGTTAGTTGTCAGAATTTCCAGGATAAAGGACTTACCCAAACATAACATATTTAAATGGAAAGCGCTAGGGGCCATTAGGCAGGAGTTCAGAGTGAACAATAGTTAAGACTAAAAAAACCCGAACTTTAATTTGCTTTTGCTGTCTCAAAAAGGATAAAGAACAGGTCTGAAACTTGGCATATTGGCTTAAAACTGTGTGTAACGGCTTGATCCAGTGCGCTGACCATCCATGCACCACCCCAACCTCTCCCTACCAGCCCCATTTATCTTCTTTCCCGCTGGCTCAGGTGGCACTTGTCTCTGCACTCGGCAAATTCAGCATGCTAAAGGCAGCACAAATCCTGCTCTCCCTGTCAGTTATGCTAGGTAAGAGGTGAGCCAGTCCACCAAAAGGTCAGAGGAGAGGCAAGATTCACAGCCAGGAGCACGGAAGGGAGAAGAAAACTTCTTTCAACAGTGCATGCTGTTTCTTCAATTCTAGGAATAATACAGACCTTTATCCTTAAGAAGAATGAAGAAGCTAATACACGGTTATCTCTTGGTAATCGCAATTTCTGTTAAGAGGGATGGGGGGATGGACAGTTAGGAAATACTCCACAGCAACCATCAAAAGAATTCAGCTATCAGATTATCAAACAGAAGTTTTGCAGTTTCATGGTCTACTGGTATACTTTCAAAATAAAAATGTCACTGGTTCGTGAATGAAATGTTCTTTCTCCTGTGCAGCTTATGCAGTTTACTGGGGAAGATCCAGAAGTTCATCCCTGGGACAACATGGCTGAGTGTCTCTGAAATTATCCCTTTTCTTTCCCTCCTGCTTTACCCAAGACACAGCAACTAACTTCCCAAAGCCATCAAAGATACTAGTCTATGCTGAAGAACACTGCTGCTCACTGAAGTTTATAGCATAAATTATACTTGTATTCTGCAGCCAAATCCTGCTTGAAACAATATTCCAACCTCATCAGGAAATCCTGGCAAGGCTTCTCAATTTTCAAGCTGTCAGAGTTTTGAGAATTATCGTTGAGCTTTCAGGGGAAAATACTCTTGATAGAAAATGGCACATGTAGAAATAGATTAGTTCCCCTTTAGAGTTTGCAGTAATTAGATCAGTAATTAGCAATCAGTAATTCGAAGAGCTTTCACAGAGATTGAGCAATAACCTTAACTGCAGCACACTGTAAGACACTAAAATGAATGTACATTTTAAAAAGTGAACGAATTACACTTTGTGGAGAGGTCACGTTTCTGCTTTTCACATCAACAGGACAAAGCTATAAAGCTATAAGTCAGTCTGAAATAAGCTTTGTGAGTGCATTTTCAGTATAAACTTATTTCTAAGTACAAGTTTGATATGTTCGGGATATGGTAAGCTAATTCAAGGGCAACCAAAGGTGTGAGCCCAAGTCACAAAAGTTCTACCAAAATGTGCAGAAAGAAAGGCAGTGCATCCCAGAAGAACAGTTTCCTTAGCTCGCTGCTTTTCTTTGTTTTGCCTTGACATAAATAATGTCCTCTTACCTGCTGTGGTAACCTCATAAAAATAAAACCAAGGAACAAGAGTAAATCCTTAGCAGCATAAATAAAATCTGACTATCATGAATTCACACATCATTAACAAAATCCAAGACCAAGTATACTTATTACAGCCTTTTTTCTTTTTTTTTTTTTTTTTTTTTGATTTTATATTTCTGGGATCTGTTTTTATAGTTAAGCTTAGAATATAACTTTGTATCCCCATCACTAACATAAATCAAACATCACGGATGTCCTTAAGTATTTTAAAAGGCTCTTAGTGGATACTAAGTATTTTAGATGAAGAATCAAGAGAAATGTAGACCTTGAAGGGATTTCACCTAAGCCCATCTCTGCACACAGGCAATATGAAATATACTATAGTCCATCCCTATGAGATGTTTCATAAACCTCTTCTTAAAACTTCTATAATGGAAATTTAACAACTCCCATGGGAAGCATATTTTAGTGTATCACTACCCTTATAGTTGGAAAGTTTCTCTCATCTGTCTTTGCTACAAATATAGGTTACTTATGAGGGTATCAAGAGAAGCTTCCCAATTATAATGATCATGAAGTACCTCCAAGACTAGAGAAGCCACCACAATTTTCAAAGACATTCTGGTGTTTGATATGCATACAATTATTTATTGTTTCACCTCATCTTCTTCAGATTCCCTCAGTTACAAAACTGGAATCAGAATTTCTTTACTGAGTTTACCATTAAATACTTAAATCAACAGGACACAGACGTAAAGTCGGTGTTAAACAACTATCCTGCGTTATGTGGTGTATCTTCATCTTAGGAGTTAAAATCCCCAGCACAAAAAAAAGCACATTGATTTACAAGAAAAATGGTCTTGCATTTTAAACTCAAGGACAGAGTTCCGTATTCTATTCCAAAAGAAGTCCTGACTTTGAACACATCACATAATCTGTCTCTATTTCATCTTTAAAAGGACACTAGTACTCACTTGAAAAGTTTTGTGAAAACACTATATGCCAAATATTTCAAATGCTAACACGAGGAGCGCTGCTTGTTAACAGATCCACCAGATGATACAAAAACATGGCATATCTCTAAGCAAATCTGACAGGAAGCAAAGAACAAAAGAGCAAGTAAGATACCACTTCTGCCCAACAGGTATTTTTGGTATCGGCTTTTATCTAAATTGACTTCTGTCTGCGGATAGCATCTCAATTCTGTTCATGAACAGGGCATGTCTTACGGTGAAATCAAGATAAAAATGGATCCGTTTCAATATCAGATGAAGTACAAAAGCCACAGATGTGATACACTCTACAACTGTGTTAAAGCTACCATAAAGGTAAATTGCTCTATTACAGGGCTTCCTGCAGTCAGGGCATTTTGAATCCTGAATATCCATTATTTAGAATGCTAACTGTAGAATAGTCCAGTGGAGATACAACAAAACTGACATACTGTTTCATGGCTTGTTCAGTCACGCACAGGATGGTCAATGTTCTGTTCTCTCATGTTTCTACTTTAAATCAATTTTCATCTAAATTCAGACTAATTTGTATTTTTAAAGCACAAAGCTGTCTTTTCAGCATTGTTCTAGCACAAACCATATTCACATCAGAAAGGCTTGAGGCAGTAAATGTCCTGGTTTGTGCATAAAATTGTTTTTCTACTATGATAATAAATTTCTTGCTGTCATGGGATTCTTGTGATATTTTTCCCTTCATAACTTTTAAAAAATAAATTTAAAAAAATGAACAAAGATTTCAAATAGAATTAAAATTTCACCTTATAGTCACTATTTCACATTCTACGTTATTTCCCCCAATTAAAAAAAAAATCTTCTGTTTTACAAATATTATTGTTATACATACAATATTGTTTCAGGCTTGCAGTCATGAAAACAATTATACCACTTGGCTACTGGAAACACCCTGCCTTTAGCCTTGTTATGCACCTGAGATGTGTGAAACTGTCTCAATTACAAAGACATTACAGAAGACCTAGGGCCTGATCCTGCAATTCTTCTAAGCATCCTGCAACAGCCATTTGTCAGTGATGAGGAAGAACGAATATTGGAGGTGCAAGATTCTGCTGGATCAGGCCTTAAGTACATTATACAACACATTATATGATGACATGTCAAAATAAAATACTGTACTTTTACGTAATGCAGAAGTAACACGCACAATTTACATATAGTAATAATTTATTCTGAAATGTTCATTTTGGTCTCTGTTGAGACATCCCCCATAACTCATTAATAAAAGAGCAGCCATTTCACCTCAAATACCAGAATATACAACAAGTTACAGCATAGCAAAAAAATTCTACCTACTTTAAGATAAAATCTAAATCAGGTAAAATAATTTTCTTCAAAGTTTTACAGTTACACAGTTTTCCTTTTTTTCTTTTTTTCTTTTTTTTGCAGAGCACGAATAAAGTGTAAATTGTTACACCATAACTATCTATGCACATTATGTGACCACAGAAATGTTAACTGTTACTTCAGAAAATGAACCATCAGTTCCATTCATGCAGAAAAGCAGGCTGGGAAAGCTTGTTCAGCAGAAACCATATTACTGTGAATTTCACAGCCACATGATTAATTATTGGGTTAGATGGATTCAAAAATACTAAAACTGAGTATACTTTTTTGCATAAATAATACCTATTCTTCCCTGATGTAGTTTAGTCAGTCTGTAATCTAGAAATGACTGATAAAGCAATATGACTGTATCGTCTCTATCTGCAATGTTCCATGATTTCAACGACAAGCAATATTTAAAGGATTATGGGATGGGATGCTAATTAAATACATGTTAAACATACTATACAAATAGACTTGTGTTAGCAATTTTATTCCAAACTGTCAATCAAGTATTCCTCCAAAATATTACCAGTGAAGACAAAGTATACTATCAAATATGGCTTCCAGAACAAGGACCCTCTAACAAGAATCAAACCTATTTACAACAAATAAAAACAACAAAACAATTCAATCCCCATTCGTTTAAGGTTTCATTTGAAACAAAATTTCTAAATAGCTGCTGTATATAATACATCAGTTTTATTTATTTTTTGTTGCATTTAAACAGAAGTTACCAGGTAAGAGCCAGAGTGACGTTTGGGACTCTGAGTTCCACTGGAGTCTGCATTTTCAGACTTGGAGTCACGTTTCTTCGTGCTGTTATTTACCGGTGTTGGTATTTGTGACGGCCGAGCGGAACTGTTGTCCACGCTACTCTTCCTGCGGCTTGGATTGTAGTTGAACGGAGTCACCCTTGCTGCAACAGCACCAATGGGGGAGCTATGTTTGCTTGAGCTACTGGAACTGAAAGGCGTACGCTCACTGACAGTACTTTCGTTATTTTCTGGCGCAGGAACAGGATTATTCTGCAGAGGCTTTGTTTCGGTGCCTTTCTTGTCTGGACTGTCTATCTGAAAGAAGGAGTTCAGACGGTTTTCTAAACCAATGGTACGAACAGGAACACCTCCACTTCCCGGGGTTTGTTTTTCTTGAACCTCTTTAGAATCTTTACTGTTCACACCCCCTTTCTCTGAAACACTGTCAATAACAGGGGGAGTATTTCCAGTTGGGGACCTTCCAGATCGAGGATTGTTAATTGGGCAGTCCTCTATTCGCACCCATACATCCTCTGTCTTAGAGACAGCTGGTGCCATCTGATAGATGAGAGTTTTGGAATCAGAGCCAGTTGCGGCACCCGAGGAAGAATGCTGTGGATCATTCATTATCTGAGGAATTTCATTTTCTTTTATTTTTCTCCAAGTACCTTTTGTTGGTGCTTGGCTTTCTTTACTTTGTTTGTGTCCAGAAAAAGAACTTCCATGTTGCTTTTCGTCTTCACTTTTTGCCTTTTCACTGGATTCTGAAGAAGCTGACAGAATTGAGGAAGAACTTCCTGTTCTTCGCCAAGTGCCCACACGAGGAAGTGACGAGGAGTGCTTGCTATGCTCACGCTTCCACGTTCCTGATCTATTGATCGGCAATCTAGATGGACTCTCAGAATGAGAACGAGCTATATCGTGACGTTTTGATGGTCTCCCATCATATTCTACAGAAGGGCTCAGGTTAGGGGGTAATTTTCGCCAACCACTATTCTGGGCAGTTGAATGAGCAGATAAAGACGTGTCAGGAAAGGATGGACTTAAAACTGGGGTCTGTAGTTGGGACCTTGTGGGAGAATCCGGCCTGGAAGGAGACAGAGATTCAAATGAAGCTGACTCTTCTAATTTCCGTCTTAGAGTTGGACTTGGAGCTTCTTTAATAAAGGTTGACTGACGAACGAGAACAGGTCTCTCGGATCTGTCAGATTCACTTCCACTAGATTTCGTGGATGACATTCTGGGTAGTTCAGTCTTTTTGTTGGATCCACCACTACTGAGAGCTTGGTTTAACCCTTTTGAAGCAGACTCACTTCGTGGAATGCTACTGGTAGTCTTAGGTAAGGCAGTTTGCTTTGTAAGGTTTTGCTGGCTCATCTGCCTGCCTGGTGATGTGTATGACATCCTACCCGAACTTGAAGATTTAGTTGAAGCTGTGCTAGGAGATGATGTCCTTGGCAACTGAGACAGTTTGTTGGGAGGACTTATACCATTTCTTCCTGGGGAAATTGAGTTTCGGCCAGGAGATTGCAGAGGCCTACTTAATGGCTGCTGCTGAGGTCTAGAAGGAGTAGAGTCTCTAGATCCTGATCTAGATGGTCCTTTACTCGATCCACTCTGGTTCAATCCTGATGGTTGCCTAGTTACGGGAGCTGGCTCAGGTTTCACTGACGACTTGACTCCTCTCGGAGAACTAGTCAAACTTTGGCCTTCACTAGGACTCTTCGAGTTTGTGTTTTTGAGCGGGGGGCCTTTTTTGGAAACAGGACTAGTACTTGAAGAACTATTTCGAACTCCTGGAATATGGATCATTGTCCTGCCACGTGAAATTGAAGGCACACTTGTCTGTTGTGGTTGCTTCAACTGGCTTGAAACTTCTGAATTGGAACGAGCTTTTCCTGTAATTATACTTTTATACACTTTCTTCCCTCCTTTGATTCCCCTGCTTTCAGATTCTACTTTTTTAGACTCCAGTGTACTCTTCTCTCCTGGCTTAAGAATTCTTGGACCTTTATTACTAGGGAAAGGTTTTTCTTCTTGGTCTGGGGTAAGATGAAATGGTGACCCTAGAGAAATACCAGATTTTAATGAAAGGATAGAATCAGAGTCTGATGAAGCTTGTCTAGACAGCGATGCAGCAGCTGCAGCTTGATGCAAGCTACTAACTATAGAATTTGCACCTTCTTGTATAGCCTTCCAATCAAAGTTCTCTGAATCAGGTGAGAAACCATGTTCTGAATCCGGTCTCTGTATCTCTCTCAAATCCAGCGTTAAATCTTCTGCCAATATACCACCTGTATTTCTGGTATTACTTTTTTCACTTTCACTCTTGAATACTAAGAGAACTGAGAGAGCTGTTCCTAGAGAAACACACAGGAGTATCTTCAACATGAAATGATTTAGGTGCATAACCAGAAGTCTGCGGTCTGTTTGATTCCATCTGTGAGTCAGGAGCCTCAGTTCGTTTTGCAGGCTCCCCTTCTTTGTTGTTATTGTTTTCTTGATCAATATCACTGAGAGAACTAAGAGATGAATTGCGAGAAAAACAAACAGGTGTGTTTTCGATAGCAAAATTCTGCATTTTCTCATCTGTAGCTGCTCCTCTGTCTGGAATATCTTTAGTTGACTGAGAGAAAGTTTTAGGCTGGCTTCTGCCTGTTGGGTGTTTTTGACAAACTTGTGTTCTGTTGCTTGGCTGCTGATTTGAAGACTGTTCTGGATTAGTGCAGTCTTTAGTTTCCATTTCCTTTGCTTCTTTTCCTTTTCTTAATTCTGCCTTCTCCCTTGAAAGGTCAACATCATCATCATCAAAATCTAAAGAACTTAGGGAATCGTTACGTGAAAAACAGTAAGGAGTTCCCTCAATAGGTGTGTAATGATGAGGGGAATCAAATGCAAAGGTTCCTCTTACACGCTCTTCATTATTTGGCAATTTGTCATTAAAATCTCTGGAATTATTTTTAAGGTTCTGTTTCTTTGCATCTCTGTTCTCTGGATAGTTTCTTTCATTATTAATATTGCTTTTAGGCTCTGTAGTTTTTCTTATACGTGCTCTGTATTCATTATTTTGGGGAACAGGCTTTACTGGCGATGTTGGCTTCTTTTTCTCACCTTCTGGTTGGTTTTTATTACTTAGAGATGAAGATGCTTGTTGAATTTGATCCATTATCTTCTTCACTCTGAAAGGTTTGTGGCTTTTCCCTTTTGGCATAGCTGAGTTAATGCACTCAGCCAGAATATCACCCTCTTCTGTTTTGTCATCATCCAGGCCTGGGGAAGTCACAGTTGAGCTCTTTGCTCTCTGAGAGTCATCAGTACTTCTACCTTCTGTAGGAATCGTGTCTCGCTTTTCGAATTCCCCGGACTCTGCTCCTGCACCCACATTGTCTACATTGGCCAACTCACTCGGGGGCGATTCTATTGTGAGATCACTCAGAGATGTAGCTGTTGAAAAATTTATTGGTGTACCCTCAACACAATATACCCGTGGCATATCATCTCCCGGCGTAAAACTCACGTGCTTTTGGGATTGCAATCTGCTTTGTGAAGGCAAAAGTTTGTAAACTGGCAACTGGCTGGGCTTTCTGGCTACAGGAGGAGGTATTTTTGGAGCAGATGCTTGAGAAGGCTTTTTGGCTTTACGCGAAGACTTTGTTGGCATTGCAGAAATAATACATGCTTCCAGTATTTCAATATCATCGTCATCATCAGAATCATCCAGAATGTCTTTTTCTGCTTCAGGAGGCTTCTCCGCTTTCTTGTCCTGGTTATCCTTTGTATCATCTGACTGTTCAGGTTCTGCTTCGTTTCCATGCTCATTTTCATGAACTGGAGGCATTATTCTTAACTCTACATCTTTCTGTATAAACGGCTCATCGAGACTCAGAGCACTCAGGCTGGAAGAGCAAGAAAACCCATCCGGTGTGCTTTCTGTGGCAAAATGTAGTAGTGTGTCAGCATCTGGCAGCACCTGAACTCTTTGCACAGCTGCATTTACAGCTGCCTGTCTCGGACCAGGCTCTCTCTTTTCCGCACTAGGTACTTTGCCTTTAGCTACATCTCTTTTTACTTGAACTCCTTGAGCAGGGGGTGGCGTTTTACTTCTGCTTGGAGGCATTGTTTGTCCTGGGCTGTCTGGAAGGTCACTGGGACTTATAATACCACTTACCATTCCACTGCAAGGCTCGCTTTGAACTGAACTAGCAATCGAACGGCTTTCAAAACTATCCAGGGAACTTACAGAAGTACATCTGCTGAACATGAGTGGTGTTTCCTGCACATAATGTTCTGGTGGGCTTTTAGGAGTCTGTGCACCACTCTTTGAGGGAGATTTGGCACCTGAAGAAAATTCAACAGCTTTGTGTCTAGAGGAATCGGAAGGAGACAAACTAGAAGTCTGAAGTCTGCTGGATTTTGTTCTGATGTGTTGCGATGTTGATGTGATTTCACTTCCTGCACCTTCTGCAGCTAGAGCCCCACTGTTTTCCTTTAGTTCTGCTATCTGTAGTGTGTTATTAGCATCTGTCACACGTGTGGACTGATCACGTCCAATTTCATCTTCAGCTGATGACAAAGATGACAAAGAGCTACACCTTGAAAAACATATTGGGGTATCTTCCACACAGTAAGTTTGTATAGTTTCCTGATTAATAGAGGGAGTTTTACAGGAGGCAGTCTTCTGCGCATGACCACCTCTGCTCTGTGCAGAATTTGGGTGAAGCTGATTCTGTCTCTTTGAACCAGCTGAGGGGGCTGATGTGTTTCCACTGCTTGAGGAAATATGGTCAGTTTTAGTGCTTTGCACTGCAGAAGTCTTTGAAAAAGTAAAAGACGGCTTCTGAGAAGAAGGAACTTCCGTTGAGTATTTTAAACTATAGTCAATAGGCTGATCAACATGATGTTCCTCTTCATTGTACTTTATGCTATAATTAGTTGGTCTGTCTTCCTCTTCATGTTGTTCCTCCTCAGAATAACGTTCGCTATAGTTGGTTGGCTTATCGTCATCATAATCATCAACCTGGCACAATGACTGGTTTACTTTCTGATTCATTCCGAGAGCTGAGCCTACTCTATTCTGATCTGAACCACTGGATCCTCTTGATCTAAAAGAAGAAACGCACTCTTGCTGTCCGAAAGGTGACTGATATTTCATGTGTTTATCATCTCCACTTTCAGTGTATACGGGGTAGGTTGCATTTTGGCTCCTTGACGGCCTTTGTTCATTTTGTTTAATTTCATCATCTATTATATGCTTAGGCCTTGCCCATCTTTCATTCTGAGAAGGACTTTGCCTTCCAGAATTTAACTGTTCATCTGAGTATTTAAGACTATAATTAATAGGAGTGTCTAGCTCTCCATCATTGTCATCCATGTGATTTGCACTATGAATCTTATGTGCCAAGTCAGCTGGATATTGACCATAACTACAAAATTTACTTTCATCATCTTCGGAGTAAGATTCAATGGAAGGCTTCATTTGGCCTCTTTTACCATAGCCATCACTGCTGCTGACGCTATTTAAACTGTCATTTGAAGATCGCTTGTATTCCATTTTTGTGTAAGGCACAGGACATGTCCTGTTCGAATTCTCAGATTTAGGAAAGTATGTATTTGAGTGAGTATGGGCACTGGCTGCTCTCCTCGGGGCATTTCTGTCTTCTGTCAAACAGTGCACTTCAGAAGTGGAACCAGAACTTCTGTCTTCTTGTGGAATATGCATGCTTGTTACTTCTTCCATAACTTTGGCGATCTGCGCTGCAGCAGTAGAAATCTGCATTCCGATTCTCTTACAGGAGTTCCCAGTATTCTCTGCAGCCGGATGATAGGTACTCACACCTACTGCTCGATCCCTGTCGAGACTTCTGTCTTTCTCAGATCGAGAATTTTCTATGCTTCCTCTACTGGTAGAGGAGGAGCCAGGCAATACCGCAGTATTCAAATACGGCGAAAGTACAGTCACATTACCAGCATTAAAACTCTCTGATCTGCATATACCATCATCATGCCGACTCGAGTCCAAGACATACTCACTGTACATATTTTGCTTATGTCTCTGCTTATTACGGTGAGATGCTTTCGGGCTTAAATTATCAATATTGTCAAAAGTCTCTGATAAATGCTGAGCATCTAATTCTGCTTCCAATGCCTTTTGTTTTCTGACATGAAGAGATGGTAAGCTTGATCCTGGAGACATAATGTTGGCATCCTTGTACTTTGCTGGCCTGTTTGCCATGAGGTTTCTTAGAGCTGCAGCACTACCCATGGCTATCATTTTGTGTTTTGAGTGAATGAGATTCTTCAGCATGCTGACTGCCCCCATGTCCCACAGCGCCTCCTGATCCTTCGCGTTTCGTGCAGAAAGATTCCACAGGGTCCCACATGCATTACTGACTATTGTCAAACTGTGTGACTTCAAGTGTTGTAACAAGGTTTGCAAGCAGCTGTTCTCTCGCAAGATTTGCCTGGTATTGAGCAATTGAAAACAAACATCAGTAACTGGCATTTCAAAAGGATAAGACACAAAGCAAAACAAAAACCTATGCTGCCAGAGGCAAGTTTTGCCCTTAGAATGGATAATCATGAATTCTCCAGTGCAAATTTATCTCGTATTTCCTCTAGCTTTCATCTGAATACTAATCAAATGCTATTACAAATATGAATACTTAGCTTTTAGTACAGTTCATCATTAACAAGCAGCAGGTATTAATCTGTTTGCATATTCCTGTTATGCAAGTGAAATACTTGACTTATCAAATGCATTAAAAATTAACTGTACTTAATTACTATACTGAATACATTAATTCATATTCAGACTCAGTCATAGAAACTGCCTGCTAAATATACACATGGAACTGCTAAAGATTTTCAGAAAAAGTGTACCCACCTATGGTCCTCATTAGTAGCAATTAAGCTAGAAACATTTCTTAGTATTCCTCCTCCACTTTCTATGATGGCTAAAGTGTTTGTTTGGCTCCGGTATGTCAGTGTGCCAACTAGAAACGCGAGAGCACCATCGACAGCACATATATCAGCTTTGTTCTCAGTACAGTGTGCTGACAAATTCCATAAGGCACTCAGAACACTTTTTAGGGTGGATTCCTAGTAAAATAACAAAATGCAAGAATTAGAGAAGTTTTCAACTATTGATCATAAGCTCTCAGAAACACGTAAGTTAGCTTCAAGGAGTCATGTATGTTCCAATTTCTGCTTTCTGGGCTCGTAAGCTAGATGCAGGCAGCAGTGCACACATAAATACTTCAGTTTGCTTCTCTTCTTCCTTCAGCTATAGATTTGGTATTGCTTGCCCCAAAATTTTCAGAAATATGTGCCACAAAACTTGTTAGCTGCCATAGTGGTAAAAATGGCTTGAAGACTATCTGGCAGGGGAATCTGGGATGGAATATAATCCTGTCTGGATACCAAAAACGTATCTAGCAAATTACAGAAGTGGTAGTTATCTATTGATTAGCTCAGAAGACATTTAATTAAATCACAAAATTATAAAAAAGACTATTGCAACAGCACTGCTCATAAAACTGAAGAGCAAAAGCTGTCAACCCTCATAAATAAAAGTACAGTCATTGCTACATTGTGGTCTGCTGCCATGTTAACTCAAGACAAGTTTCTTCTTCAAAGCAAGTTACCTGAAACACTCCAAGTATTTGACCAACTGCATTTATCAAAAAGGACAATATTTATGTTTTGTGTAAAATAAATGCAATCCAAAATGTTTCTCAATCGTTTATACAAGATACCTTCTTAACTTCTAAAGCACATTCCATCAGTGCTTTCACACTTCCAACTTCTCTTAGAGTCTTTTTACTGTTCACATCTGCTCGCCAGGACAAGTTCCTCAATACGCTTGCAATGACCTGCAAAACGTGAAAGAAAAATAATGCATCTCAATATAGCTATTTCTTGAGCAGGTTATCAGACTTTCCTCATGGCTTGCTGGAATGCTATGGATTAATTAACAGCGGTCATGTTCAGCTGCTGAACTAGCCTTTTGCTAAAATCTGCTTGTTGCTGTGTTGCATGCTAGACTGTTCTAACATTGCAGTGTGAAGTTTGATCAAAGGCAGTGGCTTTTGTGTGGAGGTACCTAAAACAAAGACATGAAATCAGGTTTCCCTGCTTTTCTACTTGTTGAAAAATTGGTCCAAAATTTCGGATCTGTGCTCTACTTGGACATCTGCACTAGACTTACATAATCTCAGGAGATACTTGTATCACCTTTTTCTTAGCTTTTCTGCTTGCAAAATAGAACACTAACACTTGCCTGTCTCTTAGATGGTATGATTACTTTGATTAATGCTTATAAAGCTCTTTAATGTCTTTTCAAAATACACTGTGTCTTTTACAATCAGCATAGCTATCCATAGAAGATGAGCACCCACTGAGCCTATGTCCTTGGCAGCAGCTAGACTGAAACAGACTGTTACTAGAATGGACAGTCATTACATATCAAATCTCCATCTGTTTACAGGCTGCAGTAAGCATGTATATCCATCAAGAAACCCATGTGATTTTACCGCTGGATGTTCCCACTGTCACAGAAATGATTCAGCTTGTTAGACTGTGTGATGAATGCTGCCCTGCTCACATCCACAGGGAGCACAGGGAGGCAGTGGCCGATGGCAGAGCCCAGTAATACCCTGCCCTGGCTGCTCCCAGGCCCACCACAGGAGACATCAGCCCATTAGAGACCCATCTCAAGGTGCCCAGAGGAGCGCAGGGGCCCGAAGGCAGGTGGGAACCCAAACTAGGGGCTTAGAGGAGGGGGCACCCTGTCCGGGCTCTTCCCGGGGCTCCCCCAGGAGACCTAGAGCCCCATTGTGACACCCATTCGGGGAAGTCAATGGGAGCAGCTCCCTGTGCCTTTTGGACTGAGGCAGGTCAGTCCAGAAGTCCTGCCCCAGGGATGTGGGACACTTCTTGGGACCCAGAGGAAGAGCATACTGGGACTGTAGAAGACTTGTTATGGGATGGGAAGACCCAAAGGTTCCAAAGACAGGAAAAAGGATGTATCTAGGTGATCCAGGGAGGTACAAGCATGGGAAAACACAGGAATAAGTGGACAGAAAGACACAGTTGCATCTAAACAGTCGGCTGGCTGACATGCTTGTCTCGCCATGCCCTTTGCCTGATGAGCACAGCCTGTCCCATATTCTTACTAAATCCCATTTCTGACCTTTCCTGAGCGAGGGACATCCCGCTTTGTGTGTGTACAGGTGTATGGGGGTCTACATACCAGTGGCTGGAGACAAACCACAGGTGAGAGGGCCCATCTATTCGTGACTTCCTTTTCAAGAATACTAAATATACTTAATATTTGCCCTAATACCAAATCAGAGAGTTTATCCAATAACCTCTACTGTAATCCTAATTATTGTCTCAATTGTAACTAGCTAGCTCCTCTAGCGGAGAAAATTTTCTGTGAACAGTGTTTTAATAGATAAAGACAAATTTTACTTTAATTGTTCTTTTATCTGATGATTCTTTCAAGCTGCAACGAAAACAGTTTTCCTTTCCAAAAGCTGTTCCAGTTTGTTTATAGCATATATTTATTAAAATTAATTATAATTTAGTATGCAATAATTTTAAACAAGTTAGTTCCATACCAACAAAGAACAGTTCTGCGCTCTCAACTCTCAGGATCACCCTAAGCACTTCTTGAAGGCTTTATTTTCAGGCTGTTTTCTTTATGCAGCAGGACTCATTGGAAGAGACACTCAGGTGTCACACTCAACACTTTGCTCATACTTACAAAGCTTCTTTGGGAGGTACTGGTGCTAAGAGTAGTTGTGTAAGTGAGATTATTCTCTTAGAACAAAGTCAAATGCAGATACTCTTTTGAAATACAGCTTTCTCTACTATTATTCTCCTATTACTTGTTGCAGCTCAGCCACAATACTGTATTAACTCTCTGCACAATCCCACACCATTAGCACCATCACTAGCAAACTAAAGCAGAGAGTCTAAGATTGCTCAAACTTCTCTTTAGAAGTGGACTTCCACTAACATATCAGGGTCACAAAAGTGAGTTTTATAGCCCATGTGTTACATGTGCTTTGGTAAAAAACCAAACAGAGTATGACCCACAGTTAAGCATTTTTACAAGAAGAAAGATGTACTTCATAATTCGTGGAACAAGTACAGGTACAAACTTTGCATCAAAGTTAAGGCAGACAAGATAACATAAGAACAACAATTACCCATGCCCCCCCAAAAAACTGGGTTGGGACAAATGAAGCATATTTCAAAGAGAGAGCCTAATTAAAAAAAAAAGAAGGCTGTCTGTGGACCGCACATTAGAAACTTTGTGAAGATAACAGAACTATAAAAACAACTAGTGGTGAGGCTAAATGAGCAGAAGGAAGGTAAATATTAGGAAAGGAGAGCAGAAATACAGTATTTTAACACAATGCAATGAAATTCATGGGATACAAAGTGATGGAAATGTCCAAGCTAGAGAAATACTTAGTCTCAAAAGAACATCACCTGTTGTAAGTCTTCGCTTTCGGATTTCAGTTGAGCTACAAGAGCTCTCATGCAGCCCTTCATAGAACATAGTGTAGCCTGGTAGGAATCAGAAGAAAGAAGAAAACGAAGAGTTGTAAATGACAGGTTTGCTTCTGCACAATGTTGTGATATGTTAAGCTACTTGTATCTGAAGTTCAATAAAAGGTTAGTAAAACATGTTGCCAACAATAAACCTTTGGTTTACAACTACTAAAAAGTTAAGAATAACTATCAGTTTCTACTCTGGACAATATGTAAGTGGCGAAATTGTGCTAAATTTTTTATATTTACAACAGGCCTAGGACCTGATCTCAAACATTACTATCTTAGAAGCCTTCTTTACTCTGCCCTACATAAAAATCATCTGTGAGTTGGCAATGTGCTGTTACTTGCTGTCTATCTAATCTCACAATCATATTTTTTCTTTCAAACAAACACCATACGAAAAATATTACAAATATTTTAAACTGAAAAAAAAATATAACATTTCTGACATTTGAAGAACAACTTTTTAAGAACACAATAGCAACTGAAAAACTGTAAGGCTTACATTGGAAATCGTTTGTGACAAAGCACAACTAAAAATCATTCAAAAACAAACTATGTATTAGAACTGTATTACTTGTCAGCTGGACAGCATGCACAAATCCTTTCAAGGCCAGGCTGGACAGGGCTCTGAGCAACCTGGTCTGGTTGAAGATGTCCCTGCTCTGCAGGGGTGGTTGGGCTAGACGACCTCTGAGGGTCCCTTCCAACCCAAAGCATTCTATAATTCTATGATACATTTACATCACTGAACAGCTTGGTTTATGCTATAAACCTAGTACCTGCAGCCCTGCAGCGGTTACTGACTGGCTAGTGTAAAGAGACAGTATTTTGTCAAGTAATTCATTTGCAGCAAGGATTTACACTTTACTCTTGTCTAAAACTTGGAACAGAAAGCAAGTTACATGAAGCCCGTTATTCCCTTTCATCCTGTAATGTCTTCCTCTAGAACAGAAAGATAAAAGTCTTCTATTTTAAGATCCATAGCCTGGCAAACTCTGGGGCAAGGAATTATTGAAAATTTCTATCTTTTGAAAGCAAGGACCTTGTCAGAAGTTAGGGCAGCTATTTGCTCTTACAGTAATTAGAAGTAATGCCCATTATGAGGCTCCAAGTGCTTAAAAGCAAGGTCCAGCCTGAAGAGGCTTGCAAAATTTCATCAGACAGTAGCTGTATTGTTAATTGCAACTTTACAAAATTTGACTCAATTAACAGTTTTAGTTCAACATCCTCAGAAAAATCAGTCACTATCCACAATCATTGATCCATAATCATTATGTGCTACACTAATCTAGACATGGACCTGTTGGAGGGCCACAAAAATGATCCGAGGGCTGGAGCACCTCTCCTATGAGGAAAGGCTGAGAGTTGGGGCTGTTCAACCTGGAGAAGAGAAGGCTGCAGGCAGACCTTATTGCGGCCTTCGAGTACATGATGGGGACCTACAAGAGAGCTGGAGAGGGACTTTTTACAAGGGCATAGTGATAGGATAAGGGGTGATGGCTTCAAGCTGAAAGATTTAGATTAGATACAAGGAAGAAACTCTTTACTGTGAGGGCGGTGAGGCACTGGCACAGGTTGCCCAGAGAAGCTGTGGCTGCCCCCTCCCTGGCAGTGTTCAAGACCAGCTTGGACGGGGCTCTGAGCAACCTGGTCTAGTGGAAGGTGTCCCTGCCCATAGCAGGGGGCTGGAACTAGGTGATCTATAAGGTCCCTTCCAACCCAAACCATGATTCTGTGATTCTATGGTAATCTAATGCTCTCATAAAAAAATTAAGCCGAGACAAAATTCTTACTTTCACTGACAAACTGAAAGCGTTTAATTTAATATGAGAGTTGATACTATACTTGCACGATACAACATTCCATTTGTGCTGATCTGTCAGCAATAGGATGGAATGACAGAGGTATTTTGCACTTCTGTCTTGAGCTCAAACTCAATATCCTATCCTGGAGATTGTCATCACCTGTCTTGAGAACTATAATTCAAATATAGCTACAAACTGAAATTACTGTATGTTTAAAATTCTGCTCTCACCTTGTTTGCCACATCTCCAAAAGTCAAGTTTGTCAGAGCCATTCCAGCATATCTCCTTAAAGTAACACTATAGTGATCACTTGTAAGTCCATACATCTCACAATCCACTTGCAACAGTTCAGCAATGGCCTGCAAACCTCCTTTAAAAACAAACAAATAAGAAAATAAATAATACCTGCACTCTAATATCATGAGTGCTGTACATGTATACCAAGCAGCAAATTGCATTTATATGTACAGAACAAATCTCAAACATCTGAAAACCAGAAGGCTCAGAAAGGTAAATAAATTGCTAAATACTGACTCTGCATCTTCAATCTTGTGCTTAGCTGCAGCTGAAAGGTACGATAGCATGACATTCAGATTTCAGGGGAAAAAGCGGACCAGGAGGTATTACGCGGAAGTAAGCAGTACGCTCATCTTTTAATTCCACCCAGCCAAAATCATGTTTGACTGATGAACTCATACCAGTTACATAAAAGCTATTTAGTAAATCTGAAAATTAATGAACTATTATCACTGAATGTTATTTTCTGAGAAAAATACATAGAATATTCTCATTGATAATGAAAAGTGGCAAATTAAGGAAAACTGCATGCATAGAATTCACTGAGCATGGACTAAGAAATTCAGGCTGTCAAACAGGAACCAGCTCATGACAAAACCACCCAAAAACAACCAACAAAAAAGCTGCCACCCCAGAAAGTAGTCTCCATTTTAAGTCTAATACTTCTAAAATTGCAAGGATTTCCTTAATAAGAACACTCTTCCAAAATTCACAATTCGTGCCGGAAAAAAAGAGTAACTGACAAAATAATTTATCCACTGGGAAATGGTCTGGTTCATTTAAACTCCATTTACCACTTAGAGGGTAACAACTGACACAAATGAACTGATGATCTCTTAAAACTAGTAGTGAAAAAAGCCACAGATCCCGTGAGGTACACAAGGAGTGTCAGCGTTTCCAGCAAGCTTCTCAAAGGTGGTCACAGAAATACATTCGGTCTTACCAAGCTCATTCATTGCATGCCTGTGTTCTTCATCAAACGAAAGTTTCATCAAAACACACACTGCAGGACAGATTTGATGATCCACTGGAGCAGGCACTGACCCAGAAACAGGTAACAATTAGTATTTCCTAGGTGATATTGTCTAGATTGTAAGTTTTCCAAAGTGAATCTTATCTTAATATGAATCTTATCTTAGTACAAGGAAAGGCTGAGGGAGCTGGGCTTGTTCAGCCTGAAGAAGAGAAGGCTGAGAGGGGACCTAATAAATGCTTATAAATATCTTAAGAGCGGGTGTCAAGAGGATGGGGCCAGACTCTTTTCAGTGGTGCCCAGGGACAGGACAAGGGGCAGTGGGCACAAACTGAAGCACAGGAAGTTCTGTCTGAACATGAGGAAGAACTTCTTCCCTCTGAGGGTGACGGAGCCCTGGAACAGGCTGCCCAGGGAGGTTGTGGAGTCTCCTTCTCTGGAGATATTCAAGACCTGCCTGGACAGGGTCCTGTGCAGCCTGCTGTAGGTGACCCTGCTTCGGCAGGAGGGTTGGACTAGATGACCCACAGAGGTCCCGTCCAACCCCAAACATTCCGTGATCCTGTGATCTTAAGATAAATCAATGCAGTTTTGTTGAAGGTTTGTATCTTCCCAGTAATCCAGGAACAAACACTCTGTTAAGAATGTTACTGTACTAGAAATATATTTCACGCTGAAAAAGAAAATAGGGACTATGCTAAATTGTATGTATTAAGGAAGAAATAAGACTTCCAGTAGAAAAACTATTACCTTCTAAATTTTAAAAATTAATAATCTTAGTGAAATGCATCAGTAAGGTTAAATATACTGGTGGGATTAAATAATACGCCACCTAACGTGAAGCTGTGTCTTTGGGCGTTGTGTCCTTATGAATGGTTAATTAAACCATTTGCTTCATAAACGAGATGTTTTTAAGTTCGTAATTTTGTGAGCTAGATTCTGGCTACTGCACAGATGGTACTGGTACATCTTGTTCAGAGCCCCGCTCCTGCTAGATGGCTCTTGTGGTAAACTCCAATATCCATGACACAGCCCACAGATCTCAGCAGTACTTCTGTCATAGACACCTACAGCCTGTACTTACGAAACACCCTCAGTTCAGAAAAGCAGCTAAGCAATCCAGAAGGTTAAATCTTTTTTCTATCTGTTCCCTGAGAAAACTCCTATTCACTTGTATTGTCACCTCTCTTGTATTTAATACTAAAACAGTTCTTACAGACAACATTATAAATAACAGTTCATATATTGAATAGATCGAGATTATTTAATTTGTGCTCTCTGTCCCTCTCCTAAATGAAATATGGTCTCTCCTGCATACCTCTACATGAAAAGCAATTTGGGATTATTTATTTAGATATATTTCGTTATCCATTAAAATGTAAAATACAATGAGTACATATTCAACATTAAGTTACAGATTATAAATATGAAACACTAGAATTATTATCTGGAAAGCACACCAAGCTCTATGATTTAAATAACAATGTTTATGAATAGGATATCATATCTGTAACAGATACTATTTCCTCACACTACCTCAACTTAAAAAAAAAAAATACACATTCACACATACAAACACACATATGTACAACAAAACTCACACACATTCAAAAAGAAGTCAGATTAAACCTGTACTTTCTGTAAATTCACTGTTTTCAATGTATCCTTGAAACATTTTTATATGGCTTGCAGAACCTACTTGGGTTTTTATCTTGGTCCATGCCTTGTTCATGGGCTTCCTGCCATTCCCAACATGTTTCACAGTAAGCACGGATCTGCTCCAAAAGATGGAGCACGCGGATTTCCCGTCTGCCTCGCTTATCATCAGGCTGGGAGTGAATGATGTTATGCAGTGCTGCGCTGGCTCTGGCACGGGCCTCTTTACTACCACGAGAGTTTCCTAACAAGACAGAGTCTTTATCGTTGCCATGTAAAAGCTGGATGAGGAGAGGGAGACATCCAGACTGACGCATGGCTATGCAGCTGTCTTGGGAGCTAGACATTGCTAGCAGTGTTCTTGACATGTCATCTTTATCATGAGTACCAAGCATTGATAATAACGAATACACCATTTCCACCTGCAGGTCAAATGATTTTAAAAATACAGTTACATTTAAAAAATACACATTAAATTAAATTAAAATGAAATTTGAACAGTATACATAAGCAAAAAAAACTTATTTAATGGCGCAAAAAATTCTGTTATTTAGAAACTTATACGTACCATCACTCCTTCAGCATTCATAATCTCAATAAATGTCACTTAGTGGTCAAATGACTAGAAGTAGTGGGTGGTAGCTGTATGTATTAGTCTACAACACCAATGGCAAAGACTTCTAACTTTCCATTGTATAAAATGATGATATAAACAAACTAATGAAAGTGCTCCAGTTTAAAAAATCTAAAATATATTTAAAATGGTCTCAAAAAATGTGTTCTTTATGAATCACACTTTCATGTAAACATGCCTTTCAGTAAAAAACTATCTGTTATATGGCATTAAATAAAATTACTCTAGACAAAGGACAAGAACGATTACATGGATTTTTAATTTACATTGTGCTAAAAAACCCCTGATATCCATGTATTTTAAAGTTTTCCTTTAAAACGACTTCAAATTAACTAATCATTTCTGTGATGATGCCTGACTTGCATATAGACCGGATTATCTATAGCGAATGCAGAACGGAAGAGTTAAATTAACACTTTTCCACGTTTACAGGGATAAAACCAGTAGAGCAAACAAATGCTCATTTAATACATATACCTTATCAAGCATTTGTCAAATTAAATGAAGCCATGAAAACCCAGCATTACACATATAATTTGTAGTAACCAAATCTTCCATTAAAAAAAAGCAATTTTTGAGGGAATCCCTTGGCTGCTGTGTAATATAGTGGTTAACACATTATTTGGTTTGTCTTTCCCATTCTGTTTTCTTCAATAATAGCTTCAGATCAAGAAATGCATTTGGTTTGTCTAGTGAACTTTATTAGCAGAGTAACAGGATGTAGCGGATGATTTTAGATACTATCTAGAAACTCCAAACTCCTAAAGCCAAGATAAACAGGAACATTCAAAGCACAAAGAAGCTGTCAAAGGGAATTGTGAAGAAGCAGCATGTGTGTTTCTTTAGAATACATCAATTAAGGAGGAAATGAGACACTAGAACTGTTAGACAAAGTCTTCTACTGATAACCAGATATTTGCACTGGTTACCACACCGATGAATGATTTTATTTGGTTTCTTCAGAGACAATTCTGATGTGCCTGAAGAAGAGTACAAATACCAAGTTATAAAAAATGTTGGCTAGCAGTGAGTAGACTAGGCAGCAAGTCTGTTAACATGTACTTCTCTAAATACTGTACGATTGCCAACGCAATGGAAATCTTAGAATCTGTGAAACTGTCTATCTGATCACATGCAAAATCCACTGAAAAAGTCGTCTTGGAGCCAATTTTATGACAGCCTCGCATCCTGGTTTGAAGATCCCGTCTTTTTGGTCTGGGAAATATCAAGTATAGCATTAAAACAAACAACTTGGGTCTTAAAGGAGAGTGAATTTAATCTGCTTTACGCACGCCTCTTGACAGATATTTCAAGTGGAAGCTTTAATCCAGTGTTATTTACATTTGGAAGGCAAAGTTTTTGTCAGAGAATAAAACCAAAGCAACCACCAAAATCTGGCCTTCAGGCTGTAGCAAATACAGTACAGGAAGAACTAAAAAGGTACTTCTCTCTCAATCTGTACACACACTGCTCACAGACACACCTCTTCCTGCATCTGTAAGTGCATTTCTCTATTTAGAATCTCCACCACTCTCCCTTCTTCTCATGCACTTATGTTAAGCTTTTCCTATCCCACAGCACACTGAGTTCAGCCAAATTCTTTGCCTGCATCCTTGCATGCTCAGTCCCTTTTTCTGCCTTCAAGGCTCTCCTGCTGTCTGCAGCTTTTGGGAATTCTGTAACTTGCAACGAAATCTCGCAGACGGGCTAGCTGATCTCACCCCCATTCAGCACATCCACACAGTGCAGGACCGAAATTACAACACTGTAATGCTGTTTTAAGGCCCAAAGTAATTATACTATGTCAAGCTAACAGGCTGGGCTTCCCAGAAGACTGCACTCAGCACTGCGCCAGTAGTACCTACACTGCTGCTGATTCCAGAGGCAGGATAAACTCCAGTGGTTCATTAACTCAGTTTCGTGCTACACATCTGCCCTTGTCTTCCCCTCTCTCTTCATACTGCACATATACCTTGAGCACAGTCTTTTGTGAACCGACACTTATCACTGCGAAGGGCTTAGATAATTTTCTTCTTTTTCTATTTTTTTTGTCAGTTTAATTTCTTATCAATTGCACCTGTTTTGTGGATTCGAACTTTGGAAAAATATTTGAAGAATTGCTCCTAAAAGGGTTAGCTTTCATCATGGATTATAAATCAACATCACAACTTTTTAGATATTCTATTAACTTCTAGGAATCACTTTTCCCTTACTGTAACAACTTAACTGATCATCAACAAGTGCATATATATTGAAAGTTGATAAAAATACTATAAAATTATAACTCCATAAAATACTATGTGTGGATAGATATTTCAGGTAGTATTAGTACTATTGTCAGAAACAATGAGGTTATTGTATTAGTAAAAATGTAGCATTAGCGACCTGTGGTTTGTAATCTTCGGTTACCTTGGTACCCAGATGACTTGTCAGTCTGCGAGGCACAGAATAGTTATTACTAGAGCTCATAACACTGGCTGTCTCGTGGTCCATTCGAGCAGCAGAACCCTACAAATTTAAATAACAATTCAGTATGAAAGAAAGTCTCAGTGAAAAAAAAAAACTATTGCCTAATTCAGTCTCAGCACTGGATCATGAAATCGTATAGATAGTAATGAACTGTCAACTAACTTTGGTTAAGTTAGGTCCTCTCTGTCCTGACACAAAACAGAGGTCACTGTTAAAGGGGGTTTTACTAACCTCTTTTCCTGAAATTAAGTCTCAATAGACTTGTATTTTCAATGGAATTATTTCATAATTACTATTTTCACCAAAAAGGATGAGAAGTGGACTTTGTCACAAACCAATTTACAATTTTTAGAGAGAAAAAGCCAGCCTCAACTTTTATGTCAGATTACGTAGTGCACAGGAATAAGTCTGTACTTCCTCGGAACACAACCAGGTATGCAAGAACGGACAAGTAAAAAGATTCAACTAGACAAGGAGCAACCTGACTTGAATTTGTCCATATCAGAAGCAAATTACGAGTGGATGAATCTATTTCTTTTTTAATGAAAACTTATAAAATTATGCTGATGCTACTTGCTGTAATTTTCCTAGAAATTCTTGTAAATGGCATGTTTCTACCTGCAATAGCATGACCCAGTCATTAGCATTAATAGCATTAATTATTCCCCTTGCTGTTGTTTTATTTCTTTTTCTCTGCTTCCTATCTGTGAAGTTTCCCTTACTATGTCTCTCCCTTCCGGTTCACTTTGGGGAACTTAAAAATACACCTAAAGAGTGAACACTTTTTGTAGCAGAACACTGCTTTACTGAGGTAGTCACCAGTCTTTTGCTGAAAAAAACTAAAATCTGTTCATTAAATTATTAGCTCATTTTGCAAAGCAACACTTTCAAGCTATCTGGATCACTGAGTATCATTTTTTTTCAGTAAAAATATCTAACACACTGAAGAAAACTGTATGAAAGACACTCTGAAATAATTTGTTTTTTCTAGGTGCACCATAAATAAAGAGTATTTGCTCTTCATACAGTTCAACATCTTAAATGTGAAGCCGAGAGTGACTCTAAGTAAAAGGTAGGAATAACTTCACGTAGTCTTTGTCTAGACAGAAAAAAAGTCAAGTTATACTGGAATATTTAAACATGCACTATTATACTTCTTTCACTCTCCCATTTGAATCCAGAACATTTCATGCATGTTCCAGAATAAGTACCATGCTAAACAGTATAACTGGAATGATTGAAATTCACACAATTTATTCTAATATACATTTCTTATGTAAATAAGTTTTTATTTTCTCTATTGAGTGTGGGAAAAATTAAAAATCTTACAGCTTAGAATGAGAATTATGCTGGATTTTTTCAATTATTCACTTAAATTATCTGCAGTGCTAGGAATACGGGAATGAATTCCCAGATTTTTATACTGAGCAATCCCTTCATATCGTCTTGACCTCAAAGTACATTCAGAGGATTACAGGTTCAACATAACGCACATGCCAGAATTCTCCAATATTAACTTCAGTATGATCACTTTATCCAAGATGGCAAAAGAGACGTAAGTTTGGAGCACTGCCTATTAAAATTTACCATGCTGTAGACAGAAATAGCATAATGTTCCTGTCATTTTCCCAAAACTGTATTAACTTTGATTCAGATAACAATCTCCTTCAGAGCCACCATGCGGCCTTGCCACTTTGAGGATACCAGGATGCCCAAATGAAGTTAAACCACATTTCTTACTGGCTCCTAAAGACTGATGTCAAAGAACTAGTGTAAGGTGTGTAGCCATTCATCTGAGAAAATGGGAAACGACAAGGAGGTGTTACGTGCCACCTTCCTGCACAGAACCTTCTCTTTCAAAATCTTCTGTCTACTTCATCTTGCTTTCTCCTTTTATACTTTACTGTCTTTCACTCCTTGTTTTACTATACTTGCTATTTACTCTGTCAATTAGGTAATTTTTCCTACTTTGTGGCACATTTTCTTAGCAAAATAGACAATCTCCCTGAATACCTTTAGAAAACCTGCAAAAACAAAAGTATGAAAAAAATTTTACTTCAGGAGCAGGATAGTGGGTGTAATAGAAAAGAGCAGATAGCTGAAAGATGGTGCAGAAACAGACATAACTGAATCCTGAAAAAACCGGGATTCAGTTGGCAGTGTTTCAATTACCGTTGATGATATGACTACAAAAATAATTGGAATTAAATGACTTGGTCAAAACTTCTTTTTTTGCATTCAACAAAAAACAGTGATTGCTCAAAGCATATTGAGCTGGTTATCAGAAATAAATGTTATGCCCAATCCACTAAACCGCCTCTGTCTGGACTTGCACTGAAAGTAAATAATCCCCAGATGTCTCTTTCAACACACATTCAGCACCCTGGATGTATCCACCTCCAGGAGAAAAGAATATGTATGTTTTATACATTTTTACAAGGCAAAGTTCAAAATTGCACAAATCCTCAACAGAAGACCTCAAATCTAGCATGAATAAATCTCCCATTTGCCTAAGTCTGCCAAGATACAACAATCCCTTCTTCCTTCCTTCCCTGTAAAATAGCTGTTGTCCAGGGTAACTCCTGATTCATACACTGAAGATAGATGATACAGCCACAGTGCATCAATTATTTAAATACATTATGCTTTCAGCTCCAAAGCAGCACTGAACCATATTCTTCCCCAACAATAAAGTGTCGTAAGAATTAAGAGCCTGAAGCAATTGCTCAGATATGGCTGATAGAATCTGATTTCAAATGGTGATCAAACGTATCTGAAAAGCAAAAGTATGGGTTGTGCTTAACGTTTAATCAAGTGAAATATTCCAGCCAAACAACAATTCTTTCTGACAAATCTTTTTGTTCAAGACATTTTCAGAAGGGTTTAACAATTCTACTTCCCTGGACCAGCAAAGATGTTTTGCATATGAATTCAACTATTAAATTGTAGTGTGAAGTTTTAAGAATGCAAATTACTAGTGGGAATGTCTCAGCTACAGTTGGAAATCGTGAAGGGAATGATCATTAGCACATGATAAATAAATCAAAGTATTTTTAGCCAAAGAGAGAAGTCACAAATTTTGATAAGCGCTTTTTTTAAAAGACAAGTGAAGAATTTAATGTACCCTTCAAAATACTCCACCAATGTATTTCACTAATAAAAGGAACAGCAATGAAAGATTATTTAGAAGCATTTAAATAACCCTTCAGCCCACTTCCAGATTACCTCACTGATGCTACTGTTTCAAAGCTTTATCTAAAACAGTATTAAAGAAACATTAATGATAAACCTGCCATTTTGTTCTCCTCTTTTTTTAAAATCACTGCTATTTCAGTGATAATTTCTAAAGTGAATAGTTGAACAATTATCCATAATTAAATCATACTTCTAATATTACAGTTCATCTACAATAAAACAAATTTTCGGTAGTCCTTCTTGTTATTTCCTTCACAGCATTAGGCTCATACATCATTTAAACAAAAGAATAATGCTCCCTGTGTTATCGAATATTTATACTTCGTTTTATTAAAACATTTCCTCCTTCCAATAAATACAAGAAATTTCTTGCATATAGATGGAAGGAAAAAACATTTATCTTTTTAAAATGAGCAGACATACAAACACCTTAAAGTAGATAACAAAATATAAGCACTGCACATTTCCAGTATTTAATTATACTATAAAAAAAAATTAATTTACCTGACCAGTACTGCTAGTTGCCATGCTGATTTCTGCTGCTCCTTGACCTTCATTCTGCCTCTCTGTATCATGGGAACCTGCATCATGCTTGCTTTGAGGTGCTCTCTGTTAATGTAAGAGTTTATGAAATTACGTACAGAAATGAAGTACTCCTTACTATTCAAAGCTCTCTAGACTGTGAATGCATCAATACTGCATCTTCACAAAGCCACTGAACAGCACTTTGTATTTCATAACCCTTAGCCTCAGCAATTTAACAGCTGAGACCAAGCATCTTCGAAAAACTGGAAGATGAAAGCGAAGCATGTCCTCTGAGGATTATAGCCCTGCAAGACAAAGGATTTGCTGCGAGACACAGAAACACCATTTTCCACCAGCTGTGCTCACATCGCTATCAGAAATGTAACAGAATTGGAGCAAACAACTGTCTTCTCTGCACTGTCACATGATCCGTGCATTTACTGGAGACTACGGCTAGCATACTTCAATTAAGCTTCAATAATTTCTGCGGAAACAGAAGGATATCTGTACTGCAGATAAATACCCTACTCCTTCTAAATTTTAAGGATAAACAGGGCAGGAATAACCACTTTGATGCAAATAAAATTTACATAACAGGATACTGATGCACTCAATCATATTTTATCAAAACAAATTCAACTGATCTGGCAAGCTGGTACAGACATGTTTCAGTTCCTGCAGGAGACCCAGTTTTCAATGGAACTACATGAAAATCAGACTGGTACCCCTGCCACTGACAGACATGAGATCAACATGCAAATCAGGCCTTTAAATACAGTTTCTTAATCGGGCAAATAGAATAACTGAACAGTTATGAAGTCTGTGAAGTTTCCAGCATTACCCATTAATGTGTTTAAAATGTTTCAGATTTTCAGAAAGACATAAATAATCCTGTCCTTGGAAGTGGCTTGAAGCCTGGAGTTGAAAAGGTGTCACCTTACCTCCAAAGCACGATTATTCTCATAGTACTAGCTGTGATGCCAAATCCCATTTTTCAGACTCTGAGGCTACTATCTTAACAGACAACACTCTTGTATCCCTCCCATTTAGCTTTTTTAACTACACTTGGTATACTAAATACAACTTCTACATGGCTCTGCAATGTTCTTGAGCAGTACAGCCTACAACAGCACAGTCTGCCTCATTTTGCTTTATGGAAATTTATTTTTAAGCAGAAACATACTTCTCTTTAATGTACATACACTGAAACTTCTTTAGTTATGTTGTGATCAAACTCATACAGTATCACTGGCATGCTAGCTCTATTTTGTTCATATAAAGACACTAGAGTCTCAAACCCAGAAAATATTGAACATTGAACAGAATTTCAGAACTCAGTAACTAAATACATGTGAAGTAATAATTTAGGGATAAACTTAAAAAATGAAATCTATACAGTTTAACTAAAGGAGTAAGATATATCAAAGCACACAGTAATATTAGACAAAGTAATGACATGAGAGAAAAGAGATGATGAGTAACATTTTTCTTATGGAAAATAAGTAACCCACAAAGCAAAACACAAAAAATATTGTAGGTGACACAGTGTTATTGTTCTTTTAAATCTGATCTGTAACTTTAAAAGTCACCATCCCTGACTGATGCTTATACAATGACTGAAGAAATTTTGACTCCCAGTACAAAACTGGGGACCTAGTCAAGGTCAGACCTTGCAGTACTGTGTGCTGAGTACAGTATAATGTACTACACACTGAATTCCTGTCTCACTGTACTTTCAGTCAAATAAAGTGTAATGATGAGTTTGACTAACTCCAGATCTAAGTCTCCAGTATAACTCAGGACAGAATTTTGCAGTCATTAGGTGACAGTAATTTTCATTAGGTGACAGTAATTTTCAATCCTACGAAGAAAGTAGTATTCAGCATACCTAGAGGTGAAAAGATGAACGGTTTGTTACACAAGTTCTGACCCACTGGGTCACCTGAGGGGGAATAACGCTACTCTTCCAAAAACACTCTGGGTTTGGGGCAACTTTTTTAGGGTGCTGATGATGGTGTATCTACTAAACAGTTTTGGTGCACAGAAAGCACAAACACAGATACTTCATTCTCTGACAGGCAAAGTTTCTGGTCTCGTCAGCAGTCTCTGTCCTCCTACCATTCACACACATTTTGTTTGGTACATGCTATTTATGAAAGAAGTGGCCTCCCGTGCCCCTAAAGCGCTCCCAAAAACATGCCACTACAAAGAGTAGTCAACACAACACCCAAACTAATTTATAAGGCAATTTTTAACAGTTACTAGTAGGGCTTATCTAACTTTAATTGCAGTACGCACTCACAACATGCACAAACACTACTGTTGCATAGGTCATCAGCTGGGCTTGAATGTCAAATCTGCATGTTCACAGCAAAGAGTTTTTACCACTTCATCTACTGAAGTGACCTGAAGTCAGAAGCTGCTCTTCCTGCAGACTGGCCCAAAGAAATTAAGAATAACACAGGCAGCAGATAGTAGGTATTTACTGAAAACTGATTCTTTATATAAGTATGTATTTATTATAGATGCATTAATACATTAAAGTACCAACACATATTATAAATGCATTTTATACAAAATATAAAAATAATACGCATTCAGACACACATGTGGATGATGAAAATATATATTCTGTATAGCTACAGCATTACTGTAAATAAATAAATATTCATCTGTCAGACCGTGGATTAGTGGTTATAAAAACAGTATAACCACTGCAAGTATGCCCCCTCTTTGCATTACCTTTTAACACTGAATGTAGGACCTGTGGATGAAAATATATAAACTAACAGCCACATCAGCAAAGAACCAGAATCTGCTGTTGCTTCTGTGCTCTATAACCTCTACATGAGGTACAGCAGCTAGACAATGGCACACAGCTCTCCTGGGTTAAAGAGCACCTCCTATTTTGAAACACGATTTTTCAAGATGCCTAAGCTGGGTTTATAGCCCTCTGCCATTTCTGAATTCTGGCACCACACTACAAAAGTCATTTTAATGGCGCATGCTTGTCTGCTCTTCCAGAAAAATGCTGGAAGAGTGCACGTGCCTATTACAGGAAGACAGAGCCGCTTCCTCCATCTTGTTTGCCACTATTTTCTAAGTGCTTCTGAAATCAACAATAACCACCACTTGTCAATTATTAATTTTCCTGTATTCACTAGGAAAAAATGATAAATCTCTAGCTATTTTATGACATTTGCAAGTATAATGGGCTGTGATTAATTTTTGCTAAGTCAACCAATTACAAATAATTTTACCTAATACTTTGTCAACATGAGTTGCCAAAGCAGCCCCTTGTATTTAGTAGGACAGAAGACTCTTCCATGCATAAACCCCTGTTTTGTCCCCAGTATTCAACTACCCATGATGTGGTGGAGGAAATCCTCCTGGAAAGCATTCCCAAAGACACGAGAGACAAGAAAGTAACTGGGAGCACTCAGCAGTGTTTTACAAAGGGCAAGACAGGCTTGACCCTTTTACAGTGAGGTGACTAGCTTGGTGAGTGAGGGAAGAGAGCTGATGTTATTTATATCAGCTTTAGTAACCCTTCAGACTCTGTCTCCCATAACATCACCACAGACAAGCCAACAATGTATGGGTTAGGTAAGTGGACAGTGATGTGGACTGAAAACTGGCGCAACAGCAGGGCACCAGAGGGTTGTGACCAGCAGCACAAAGTACAGCTGGAGGCACGTCAATAGTGAAGTACCCCAGGAGCCAATAGTGGGACCAACACTGTCCAACATCTTCACTGATGACCTGGATGCTGGGACACAATGCTCCCTCACCAAGTTTGCAGATGACAGAAAACTGGGAAGAGAAGCTGATACACTGGATGGTTCAGCTGCCATCCAGAGGGACCTGGACAGGCTGGAGAAATGGGCTGATGGGAACCTCACGCAGTTCAACGAGGGGAAGTGCAAAGTCCTGTATCTGGGGGGGAACAACCGCAGGCACCTGCACAGGCTGGGGGCTGCCCAACTGGAAAGCAACTGGGCAGAAAAGGACCTGGGGGGTCCTGATGGACAAGCTGGACATGCTAGCAATGGACCCATGTGGCAATAAGTCCAACAGTATCCTAGGCTGCATTAAGGAGAGCGTTGCCAGCAGTTTAAGAGAGATGATCCTTCCTCTCTTCTCAGCTGGTAAGGCTGCATCTGGAGTACTGTGTCCCACTCCAGCCCTTCCAGTACAATAAAGATACGGACTTACTGGTACAAGTCGTGTGCAGGGCCATGATGGTGCTTAAAGGACTGGAGCATCTTTGATACACAGGCTGAGAGAATTGGGACTATTCAGCCTGGAGAAGAGAAGACTCGGGGGTGATCTCATCAATGTGTATAAACACCTGGATTGGCTACTGTATCAAAAGACCAGGTGACTTCAATTATATATATATTACTGTCTGCTTCACTTCTAAAATCAGATTTTCCCCAACTCTTGGAATTATGAAACCACTATTTTTCAAAATGGAAAAAATATACATTCTTTAGTAATCCAAATGCTGCTCTGAGTTTTCACAGTAGTCATTTTGGGTGAAGACAAACCATAAAATATTCATGTCCAACATACATTTTATATTTAATTTCCCTGTACAAGAAATGGAGTTGACTTTGTAAGTGAAATTCCACTACGAGAGCAGTTTCTGCTAATGGCAATTACTACTACAGACTTTCTGATTTACAGGAAACATTATCTTGTACTTCTTAATATAGAACCCAATATTTAAACACTAAAAATATGCCAGGGTTCTATAATGAAGTGTGACAGAAACTGTACTCACCCTTTTTTTAATCTTATCTCTCTCAAAGGATAAGCAAATCATGAAGGTGCTTGTCAGAGATTCATATTTAGAAAGGCATGTACAATTGATTGTTACAATTATTTACTAAAACGAAGACTCAGTCTTTGCAATACATTGCACTTTTACTGAATTTTTACTGAAATTTCAAGTTAACCTTCTATTTAACACATCATTAATGACTAAAGTTCAATAGTAGCATGAAGACTGATCCAAGTATTCCACCCTCAGTTCAACGGTAACAGAGCAATTAACAGCCTACGTATATTGACTAGTTGATTAACTGTGACATCACTACCTGATGGAAGCGATCCTGCCTACCACTTTAAAATTAAAATAACTTTTTTTTAGAAAGATACATACTATAATCAGAAGAAGGCAAGTAATTGCCCACTAACCTCTGCTTCAGCTGCTTGTGATTGCAGGAGCTGTCGTACACGAAGAATATCCTTCTCTATTTGCTGAATTCTTGCCACCCTTGCCTGAAATGAATACATTTTTATGCTTGATTTTGTTCAAAAACTCCTTTTACTTACTGTATAGAATAACAATATGAAGAGTTATTTGCAAAAACAATTTAATACAAAACAAAACTACTTCATTCATGTGGTGATTCTTCTTAATCATAAAACACAGGAATGACTGCAAACACTAAAAACACAGTCAGTAGTTGGGTTTTTAATAAAAATTATACTCATTTGGATATAATAGGTCATCACACAGTACACATTCAGGTATAGAAAAATGCTCCAGTTAACTTGCACAACTTTCCTGTTTCTGAAGCTGACATCTTCTGCAGGTCTTTAGCAAATTATTTAACTTTAATCTCCAATGTTAGAATTCTACTTGCCTTATAGGGATTTGAGAGAGGTTTGTATTTGCAGAGTATCTTGAAGGCATGAAATCCTGAATGACTTCTATTATATTTAGTTACTAAAATGATATGGGAGTTTTGCTTATGCACAGCCTCTGAATATTTTCTGCTCCCACAAATCTTGAAGAATTTAACAGGCTAAGTGCAAAGAAAACTACATACTACTGCTTTGGTTTGTCTGGGATTTTAGAGACACCTCTGAATCAGAGTCTTTTATGGCAAATATTGCTACTCATTTCCCAGTGCAACCATTCTGTGGTTAGTAAAGGCAATGTTAAAACCCCCAAATATTACAGGATACAAATACTCCATACAAGTTGTGCTGTGAAGCACAGGAGACATTACGATTCTGTGAAACAGTAAGTGTATATATATTATTAGCCCCTGTTTTTCGAGCTGTCAAAAGCACGATCAGCTGAAAGGAACGAAAGCTCAATTGAAAGATTTTACAGAGAATTTTGAAAGAACAAAGTCTTGCAGTTTAAAATCCCTGAGGAAATCATTACTTGGAAATCAGTGCATACAGCTTTAAATGCTCTAAAACTTACAGAGACTATCTTAGAAGCGGCTGCTACTCCTCCACCGTTATCTCCAAAGCAAGGACAGAGCTGCAGTCTTTTGAAATTTAACCCTACATACGATGAAATTCCTAACCCAACATGAGAAACGCGGGAGGTAAATCTGCCAGAACCTGATGATCCTTTAAATCCAGAGAAATGAGAGGTGGGGTGCAAAATCCGGCACCCTGAAAGTGTACAACAGGGTCCCTCTAGAGCAACTGGCGTACCCGACCTGAGATCAAAGCAGGGTGAATTCCAGCATAAAACTCAAAAAAATTACACTTTTCAAAAATACAGTAAAACAAACCTCTTTAGCATAAGACTGTATCACTTCCGCGGTTTCTGTTTTTCTTTTACATCTCTGCTTTACAGAAATACTGTTGTTGTCCAAGTCTTGCATGAGTTTAAAAAAGGCTAATTCATTAAATAACACTTCAGAGATCTCCACGAGAAGATCCTCCCCACAATCTTTTAATTTTCTACCAGCAAATTTCGCCAGTGAATCCTGAGAAGAGAAATAAATATTCAGTTTTTGAAACAGGCTTTCAGACTTCAAAGATTAAGTATTTGCCATATTCGTAATAACTCAAAATTGGTTAGGTATATAACAGCCCGTACTTTGTAAAAAATATGGTTTAGCATCTTAAACAGATTTTAAGTAGATTCTCTAGTCACATAACACAGAACTTATCAAGTTACTCATTTAAACTCTATACTTGTAGAAAAAAAAAAAAAAAAAAAAAAAAAAAATCATAAGTCTTTGCAATATTTGGATTTATGCTGAAAACTTGGTGTGCTTGTGTGTGTGCAGTCGCGACATGATTGTGTGATTTTATGTGTTTGTTGTCATAGTGTTTGTATTTCTGTGTTCTGATGGATTTATCTGGTTTCTGTGATCTAACGGATTTGTCTGGACTAAATAACTGCCTTTGCGTCTTTGGTTTGGTGACTTCTGCAGGTATTGTATAGAGTTAATGAGTTATACCCTTAGACACATTGATCTTAGCCTAGGTGATTAATATGAATACAGGTTATGGTATGCACTTCACATCTATATATCTTTTTATTAGCATTTGTGTTCTTCTGTTTGTTATAAAGCCAATAGTGATGCTTAGGTGTGTCAATGTAGCACTTGCTTTAAATTCATTAAATACAAAAGGGGGAGATGTAGAGGAAGTAGTGATTATATTGGTTCTGTGTATAATATGCATAACACAAAAGGCACTAGAGATAACCGTAAAAAAAATTTTTGTGATGCAACTAACACAAATTGAGCAAATGTTTTTAAGGCAATGATAAGATAGCTTAGCTTTTTTTGAAAAGAAAAAGGGGGAGATGTTGGGGTCGATGTAGTTTGAGAGTTGGCAGGACTAGGCCGCTTAAGCGAAACAGCATAGCTGGACAGGCCACTGGAAAGGACAGCTACGAATAAACATGGTGTGGGTTAGCAAAAACAAGATGTGTTCAAGGACGTGGAGGCAGCCTGTTGCTATTGGCGTTAGTGCGTAGTTACCAATCATAAGGGAATGTGGGGTGCGTGAACAGCGCGTGATTTACGTCTGTAGCCTATCTGAATAAGCGTGATCGTGTGTGCAGATATGGAATATGTATATAACCACGCAAGCAGAGCAATAAAGGGGAATCGCCTGTGCATTGTATCAATGTGTGAGAGTCATTCCTGTCCCTGCATGGATGCTGAAACTTGGCAGACCATCAAAAGAACCTGAGCATCTGTATATACACACAATATTTTTTGTGCAGATAAAAAAAAATCAGATATTGCACTATTTGCCCAGTATCATTGACAGTCCTCAAATGGGACAGGAACTCAGTGCACCCTTCCCAATTTTAGTCCAAAGATTTAAACATCAGACCATTCTTCTTTCTGCTAATTCATTATTTGTATTACAGGGAAACTGAGGAGTTCCATTAACCAGGAGCATATTTTGCACCAAACACTGTGCAAGCAGAAAAAAGAATGCATTTCTTGCCACAAAGGCATACAGCCTAATAGCAAACACACAAAAACAGAGGTACACAATCAAACAAGCACCAGTAATGGTTTTAACTTTAGAACTTATACAAGAAACATCACTTTTTATTCCTGTTTGTTCATAGTATTTTCCCATTCATTCTGTAATATTTACTCTTCACCTTTATTAACATAAAATTGTTGGATAAAGTAACTTCACATTTAAAGTTACAAATTATTTGGATTTCACTGCTCCAGTAAGACTTCTAACAAAAAAACCAAATACCTCCTTAGTCACAGTGATAGAAAAATAGTCACTTTCTAGAAAGTAAAAATAAGGAATACTATTTTGTTTTAAAAAGGTTGATTTTTAAAACTTATTTCCCAAAACAAAACATACATAATAAACAAAATTATTAATGGGTTGGTCTACATTTACAAACAAGACTACTGTATGAATATAACAGAGCTAAGATCTTCATCTGTGTGAGACTCCAGGGTGCAAATTTTCGTATGTCTTTAGGGGTCTGCTGTTTCAGCAAACTTTTAAGGATCTTGGGGTAAATTCTCACGAGAATGAGTATTTCTTGGAGATTTTAAGTAACTACAAACCTATAAAATACGAGATCCTTCTTGTTCTGGCATGAAGGAAAAAGAAATTCTATGTGAACATGATTTCAGTCTTGGAATTTGAATTTTTATATTATACAGAAATTAAAGCTTGCTTTGACTTATTACAAAATATATAGGCTACAACATTTGAATAGTCAAAACATGGATAAGTATGCTTTTTTGCTTTTTCAAGTAGGAACTACCATGTGACATTGTAAAATTCAGGATATAGCACAAGTTACTGTAAATAATTAAACAAGCTAAAATAAATCACTAACAGTCTCCTAATGCATCTTTCTGAATAACTGGGCATGTGCTTGTATACAACCTTCATAAAACATAACATAAACAGTGAATTGCTATGAGCTAGCTTGCTTCAGAAAGAGGAGGTTAAAGGAAACAAAGCCCAATCATGACAGATGAAAGAGGCAGAAGGTCACTATTTTAAGGTCCATGAGAAAGGGTGGCTAGTGCTTCAATTACCTGGTCAACAGCAGGCTATCAGCTCTGTCACAGAATAAATCTTTGGGACTCTTAACACAGAGATGTCTGCAATGCCAGCCTTTGTAGAGCTGAACTGTTCCCTCCCTTCAATCTACATTTTGCATTGTATTCTGTGTCACAATCAGTTAGGGTGGAAGGATAATACAGAGCAGAAAGTAAGTTGAAAAACTAGCAAGTTCACTATACTTGCAAAATATGAATGGTTCAGTTTGCACATTTAAACACCACAGTGAAATAACACAGAATTTGCTTTTATGTGTTTGTACACCAATGAGCTTCTACACAGTTTTGTCATCCATTTTTGGTAAAATGAAACCAAGGGGAATTACTAGTCAAATGCACAAACAGTACACGCAGAAGTAGTTATTTCCTATTTTATAATCCTTATATAATCACAACAGATGCTGTAATTTCTGTAAGTGTGTTACACATACATAGAGAAAAAAACAGTTGTGATAAACTACAGATGTGGCAAACATTAATCCAGAAAAACATAAAACATTTCAACATCTTGGTATCATTTTTTCCCCACACAAAATTAAAAAAAGACAAGCAGGGAAGAAGCTACTTTAGGGACAACTTCAGTACCTTCATAGTGATGTAACTACAGTCAAATTGTTTTTCTGAAAAGAATAATTTATTCTCTGCCTGAGTGCATTTAGAATTTCGCCAGCAGCCTCCCCTACCTATTTAGCTTACTTCACTTTACTCTAGCTTAGGCTTGTTAGCAGCAAGAGAACTCTCCCAGAAGTTCTAGTGTCAATGCTGTTAACACTTTCTTCTGCAACAGGGCTAACCAGACACCTGCAGACAATCCAGAGTCTGCTCTGCCTTCACTCAGGACTGGCTGACACAGGTTGCACAGCTGAATTTGTGCAGGGCATCACCACTGCTGGTAAACCTCAGTAACACAGCCATACGGCTTCCAGATCAGAGCCAGCTATTATCCAGGCAGATTAAACTTGGGTCTGTCTGAGTACGTCCATACGGACAAATCCCTACAGTGTTTATGTACATACTTCAAAACTGCAGGGTATCTGTTTTGCTAAATACTTCAAGCCATCTCTCAATTTTCTGAAAAGTCCTACTAAACTACTCACTTAAAATTTTAAAGCAGCTTTTCTAATTACAAACAAAATTAATTAGAAATATTTCTTATTTAGCAAAATCTTGTGTTGAATAAACCTGGCAAAAAAAATAGAGCCTAAAGAGACTACATATATTCAAAGGACTTATTTTTGTAACATTCATCTTAAAAAAACCTAAGATTATCTTACCAAGCCGGTTACGCAACATCCCTGAAAATAAATGGTAATAAAAAATTCAACTTGTCACTCTACTACTGTGGGGGAATAGTTTTAATAACAAGCAAGCAGCTGCTTGCAAACCATCACATTCTGAGTTATACTTCCACATGTGTGTAACATGATTTGCATACAGAATTGTACATGTCCTCATCACAAATGCCAAACAATACTTGGTGAGAGCAAACAATTTCCAGGTATGTATGTGAATTACGTTTTACTTGAATACCTTGTTTTCAAAGATTATTCCTTGATACTAGTTTCTGGTTAAGGAAACTTAACAATAATAGCTGGATTTTATTTTAAACTTAAAAGCATGAAAAAACCCAGCAAAATACAGCAGTTGCAAACACACATTTGTTTGAAGCTAAAATGGTAGTAAGTTATAAGCAATTAATCAGTAAAAAATGTTTCCTTCTGAAGAAACTGTCTACTTCTGTCTACCCAGATGACCCACAGAGGTCCCTTCCAACCCCTAACATTCTGTCTTTCAAATGGGCAGAGGAGGGTACCTGTCGCTGAGTAGTTATTTCCTGCGTTCTGATTCCCACTTTTGTATTTGACAGGCTAACTACATGCTCTAAGCTATCACTGTGTTTACACACAGTTTAAAGATACAACTACCAATAATTTAATAAAAATGTAGGAAAACTTTTTTTATTCTTCCTAATAATGAAAGACAAACCACACCTGTGCCCGCTTCTCCATGTCCTGACAAGTACCAAGCTGCTCTTCCATTGCAGCTCTGATTTGCCTTGCCTCATACTCCAACTGCCTTCTGGTCATATCTGTTTGCAAGGAGAACTGAAATTGAAATACAAAGAAAGCATTTCAGTAAATAACATTTATGTAAGCTATGTATTTCTCTGAATAAAAGCAGAACAATCACTTTTCCACATCAAACTTCATGAACAAGCAAAACTTAATAACAGATCCTTAAAATCTGACTGCATTATTACAAACAAGAACACACAATGTTGTTCAACCAACAGACTACTTCCAAATTTTGTCAAATGACTAAATATAATAGACAAAACATTGAGACAGTGTCATCAGTTACAAGCCTGGAACATCTCGCTACTAACTTATATAAGCATACCAACAAATTGTTATGCATGCCATATTCAGAGGTATGAAACTACTGCACATAGCAATGGTGTTCATACTACTGCTATCTACCCTATTTTTAACACTCCTGTGAAAAAAACACAAGTGTTCAATCCATGAACAACAATGCAGCTTAAGAGAAGACATTCCAACTGACAGATTTTTCAAGGCAAGAGCAAGTACTTCACTGGGTTTGGACAATTTCTCAGATTGCAAATAAATGAGTCTCCAAGAGTAGTCCTCTCAGAAGGCTTAACCCAGGTCAATTCAGAGAGTCAAAATGAGACAATCACCTACAAATAGTAAAATGCTACTAAAAAGATTGGGGTCTGTCATTCTATTGTGGTTGGAGTAAGTAGTAACAGATATAAATTACCACAAAAAAGATTTAGTGTAGATCTTAAGACATTCCAATCATAAGAAGAGCTAAGTTAACTGATTACCTATGAAACCAGGGAGACAATCTTAAAACCTACAACAGAGTGACACAGATACAGCTGACAGTGCCTTTGGGAAGGCACTCTGCCTTCCTCAAGATCCTTTCCAAACCTTCTCCCCTTGCTTCTGGCAAGCTCAGCCGTGACTCAGATTTGCTGAACTCCAGCTGCTTCAACCCAGTCACAGAAGTGTATCCATTGTCTATTTCCATTTCCAGGAGGCTGACTGATTCCTGATAAGGTATGACTCTGTAAAGATGGGCAACCAGGTCTTCCCAGCACTGCACGTGTGAAGGAATGCACCACAAATACACCCAAGGTGCTGAGGTCTGACAACAGAAAATCCTCTGTTACCCGGGATATCAGACATCTTTATTATCCCAGATAACAGTGACTTGACTATAAATAGTCTGGAGATGCCAAGGTAAAATCTTGGAGCAACAACACCTGCATAGGCTACAGCAGCACTTCACTTGCTGTTACGAATTAAGAACTCTTGCATAAATTAGCTCTTAGGCTAATATTGCTCTCAAAACTAAAAAACCCACTAAATAACACACCGGATAAAGAAAAGACCTTTGGGGGGACAGAATTAAAGAAAAAACATACTGACATGTAATTCTTCTGTCATAATGACTTTTCAGTGCTCCTCTGTATCATCGGCATTTATACTGATAGGTATGAATTTTAATGTGTGAGATTATAGATGAAAAAATTTAGGCTAAGTTAGCTTTATGTAGTGAATAAAAATGTTTTAAATTAAAATGATAGTAGAGAATGTCATCAAATTCACAAAACATACACAGCATCTAAACAGAGGCCACAGCACCTGACACATGACCAATCATACTGAAGGTACTTACATTTTCAGTAAGTGGAAGACTATCAATCCTTTTAGTCAGGTTCTGAAGCTGGGCATAATACCAGTCCTTTTCTTTCTCTTCCTTCTCAAGCTCCGCAAGCAGAAGAGACCTTTTAAAAACAGAAGCAGGAAATGCCTCACTATTAAGACCTCATAACCTTATGTAGGTACAGAAATAGGCATTGAAACCCATAAATGAAGGCTAAATGAGAAACAAGATTTTAAGAGAGTACTAAGACAACATTTGAGAAGGTGGGCACAGTTCCCTGGCCACAGCTAAACCACCTGTCCACTCCTCTGTACCACTCAAGTCACTAGCTTCTTGTATATCAGGTTCACACCCATAAAAGATGAAAATATCTACATCTCTCTACAAAACCACTTCGAAATCTAAAGCTAAAAGGCATTTTGTGAAAGCAAAACCCAGTTATTAGTCAAATGCTAACTTGTATCTCCTTCTCTTAGACAACACACTTTGTACAATGCACCGAACTACATTTAAGAAAAGGCCTGTATGTTACAGCAGCATATACATCCCTGAATCACATTACTGAATTAAATTTCCTCACTGGTCTTCACCGTGTCTCCTTACTGACTTTGCCATCCATACCAAAACAATTGGTAAAGCACACAAAAGCAAACGAATTCTACAAGTATTAAAAATACTAAGAGTATTTTCCATCAAATGTCATAGACAGGATACACTTGCAGCTGTTTAAAACATTTTAAATTAGTATCATAAGCATACTGAATATCTGAGTAGTATATGAGAAAGATAAGATTAATACATGCAGACTACTGAGAAAAAAATCTATTAGAAATCTGACACTGTTTTACTAATATTTCATGAAATACATTTATGTAGTTGCAAAAATTATCAATATAGTAACATAGCGTTCATTGTTACAACACTTTTCAAGATATGTATTAAAATTTTCAGGCAAAGACTGGCTAGTAAGAGTATATAGAAAAGCAATCCTTTTTTGATTATTTATAATACAAATTTATTAAGTTTCTTATAAATGCATTCTTCTTCCTGATGACATTTTAATATTGCTCATTAACATTAACGGAAATGCTAAAATCAACACTTAGCCAGAGGACAGAAAGTTGCATACAAGTTTGACCATTATTATTTCCCATCCCTTGACTTCTGCATCCCTCTCTCTGAACTCAGATCGTGGTCTTTCTGAGCAAGAGCCACATGAGCCTTCATAAAGCACCCAGACACATTATGGTTGATTAGTGTAAGTCATTAAGTAACAAAAATAGAGCATACAGCAAAAATACAAATTTCCCTTGGCTACTTTGATAATGAATCCCAGTCACGATTTGGGATGAAGATAATCAAACTTCCACATGACATAACTTCATGTAGAAGAATAAAAAAGTATGTATTTTAAGGGATCTGTTTGACTTAGTTCCTACTTTAAAAATGTTTCAACTAGTTTTGATGACGTAACATTTATACTCCATACCGAATGCAAGTGACCTGACCAGTGTTCAGATGAAAAATTAAAAATGACAGGATCCCTCACTTCAACTGGAAGAGACTGAAAAACTACACACACCTAAGAGTGCTGAATGTTTTTAAACATGAGCAAAACGACATAGATTTCCAGACTCAATTCAACAGTTTTATATTGAAACGGAACTCTTTTATGAATGTCTAAACTACGCATGAAGTCATGCAGTGGGCAGCTTCTACATCAGACAGGTTTATAACAAAAAATCAGTGAAAAGAAGCAACATCCAACCACCACACCGTTGCAGGTAACTGTAGGAGGATTAAAGGAAAAAAGTAATTCTTCAGCCACAAGGATAGGGCTGGGAGGAATTCCTTAAGTCCTTCAGACAGACTGAAGGAAAAGCTAATAAGATTGTGCTCAGGGAAAGCCTGTGAGGAAGGCAATTTTTTCAGCCTTCCACCTGCTCATCCTTTAACACATATCCCGGGTGTCTGATCTCCACACACACAGGAATTCTGTACGGCTACCCTTTCTTCCTCCTTGGGTGCCCATGCACCGGCTGTGCCCAGTTTGTGAAATCAAATTTGCAAAAGCATAATTAATGCAATCCTTACAAAAAGTATTTTTACCATATGAGGATCTGCAAATGTGAAAGGACTTACTAATTCTGCCTCTGGATGTCAATGAACCGACAGAAGAAACCGGAAGCATTACTTTTCAGCTAAGTGAACATGTGATCAAGTTCCTCTTGTAAAATGTAGGGTATTCAGTTTGTGAGACACCGTGTCCTTCAATGTCTTTTGATGTGCACAATGGATTCGAGCAGCAAGAAAAGAACTTTGGAACCACCAGTGCTCCATAAGCAACATAATGCATGACCTGAGGGTGACTCCTTTAATTTAGCAGTGTCATTTTTGCTTCTGAGTAACACTTTATTTGGGATTACTAGTTTGGTATCACTGCTCCGTGAGAATTCAGGTTTTAACAATGTCTCTAAGGTCTCTCAGCACAAAGCTTGAAGTGTTGGTACACCTATAGCAGGTTGCACTTTAATTTCCTTGAAAATCAGCAGCAAGACTCTGTAGATGTGTCTCTCAAGCTGCTCCCCACATTTAACATTACTATTAGATACTGTATCAACCACAAGTATAGCTTCTTCTCCGCCTTCTGGAACTTCCGGAGGTTAGGAGAGCAGTTATGGTAGAAGAGCTGTTACCGATCACGGAAGAAAACTGATGGAAAAACCCAGGGCAGTTATTCCATCTCTTTAAATGCCGAAATGGTTTATATCAGGACTTTCACAGTATCAGAGAGAATTCTGTTCTCTGCCATACACTGTGAGGTTCAGTGACAATGCAGCAAGGCAAATGAAACAAGCTTTTGTAACTTTACACTGTTTTTATGAGTTATCAAAAAGATTCCAATTTGAACTTCTTTTCGGAAGGGTGGGTGTTTTGAAAGACTTCTCCAATGGGGAGTTTTCGAAGCTTCCAACAACAGATGAAGCTGAATGAATGCAGAAAACCAGTTTCTTCTTTTGGAAATATTTTCTGCATAATTATGTCAATGTTATTCCCAGTTAAAAGGGAGAAGGGAAGCAAACTATATGCTACTCTACTTACATTAAGTAAATTACAATTAATACTTTCACTTCAATTGATAGGTGATAAAGTAAAATCTTGAAAACGAAACACTGCTGATAGATGCTGTGAAGACTTAGGTACGTCGTACGGTCAGACAAAGGGAGATTAAGAGTAGGGTGAGAAAGCAGTCATGAGGTAGAGAAGATGCTCAGAATCAACACTAAGAAAATAAAAAATACAAACCAGAAGGAATAAACAAGGAATACAAACATTTTCATAAAAAAAATTCATCATAAAATTGTCATCTTTAGTGGTAAATTACAGAACTTACAAAGGTGAGATTATTAAATTTACTAAATTGCAAAAGGCAAACTAACACAAAAATTAACCTGCAGTACCACTGTTGATACCATGTCTTATCAAATACACTTGGAAATAGCCAGAGAGCAAGCAGGAAATATTTAACAAATACTGTATTCTAAATTGGAAACCTAAAAACACACACCACTCACTTTTTTCTCTTTTCTTATTTTGACTCTGAAATGAGAGGAGAGCTAAGCAAATGAGAAACAGGCAGACAACTTCACCATCATTCTGGTAAATGAATCAATTAATTTTCTTCCCCTCAGAAGATCACTTATAGCCATGCTAAACAATTTTTTCAATACAAAACAAATTTTAGCAATTTATTCTTCTTTCTTACTTGCTTACACCACAATAAACATGTAGTGAATTAGTTTATTAATAAACATCTCATGATGACTAACACACAGTTAATACATGATCTGGTCCTCGCCCACTGTTGGCCATCCACTGTTGCCCATGAGCAGCAGGTATTGTGCCAGTGTGTTAAGATACTGAATGGAAATGCTCCCCTGCTGCAGGTTTCAAAAAAAATCTTATTTTCTTCTAAATCGTTTTAGTATTTTGAGGCCTGCCAAGTTCCGTAAGTTCTTTGAAAGTCTGTTTAACTGCCAAAAAAAATTATGTTTGCAAATAATGTGCGTTTATATACATACATTTAGAAACACAGAAACTAAGTAAGTATGTCAAAAAAGTTCAGACACAAAGCCTATGAAAACACGTGGTTAATTTTCTTTCAGAAATTGTAGTGGTTTCAGATACATGGTCCTATAACCCCCACCCCAAGTCCTAATTAATTTCGCTACCCAGGGTCCACATCAAAGCCCTACGCCTTCCTAACATGTTCCCCGAAACAGCATAAAAAATAGGGCAGTTTGTATTATGCATCATTTCGCTAATAATGAAGCCAGATGTGATCTGGTCATGCCTCTACAGATCCTCTTCTACACAATACAAATCTTTACCTCATCAGCTTTGACACTAACACAGCCTAAGCTCATCTGAAATTAAAATGTCCTTATCCTTTTTTTTTTTCAGTGTTATTTGGAACGTAGACCAATTCACTGCCCAAGCTGTCTTTATCATCAAGAAATACGTCCCAAGAACTATCACATTAGAATCCATGAGAGTGGGAAAGGATCACTGATCATAAATCAGATGTGCTAACCATCCTGAAGGACTCCAGCTGCTATAAATTAATGAACCTTGTTCCAAGTGACCTGGAGTTTACTTGAAAAGTAACTGCAAGTCCTAACTACTCTTAAAGCTCTTAGTATCACATGCGCTAAAAAGCAGCACTGGAAGAATACAAACTACTACAACATTTTGTCAAAATGGAAAATGGCAGGCACACTAGATTCTTCAGAACTGGCATGAGGAAATGGGAAGAGATTCCCAAATTCCTTAATATTCTTATACAGCTCCACAGGAATCTAGGTTTTATGCGATGCAACAAATATGATTAGTGATCCTGACTAGGAAAACGAAAAAACAGAGTGGCTGCTAGAAAAGTATCAACATGGACCCACGGGAAGTTACTTTCATTCTACTGATAGGACCAAAAGAAAGGGACCTAGACAGAGCAACTCAGAGGAAAAGTGTACTCCTTTCAGCTCTTGACTGCAAAAATTTTACTGAACACCAGGAAAGGCCCTTTAGAGGAGGGGTTTCTGAAGGGCTTCCCACAAACCACTTATTACCCACCAAACTTTCGGACTGTGATTTCAAAGTGGATTTTTTTTGCTTGTTAACTACTACTAGGCATAAAAATAGTGTGTTGCTGTTTATTTGGTTTTGCAGCCCACAGCTTCACATCCTATCCATTAAGCAGCTATCAATGACCAAGTCTTTAGGAAACCCGTCTTACAGGCAGGCCTCTAAAAACATCTGGGATTTCGGTCAGGTTCATTCCGAGATACAAAGATGTCTTCAGTGGAAACAGCTGCATGTTTTTACTTTGCATTTCCTTTGTAAGTGATTGATAAAGTGCTACAAATTCATATTATGCCCTGGAAGTATGTTATTCATATAAAATGGACACCACTGCCTTCCAAGAAAACAAGTTTGATGATTTTGTCAACTCAACACATCAGATGGGAACATCATCTTGAAGACAGCGTAAGTACTTTTGTTTAGCTGACATCTTTGCTCAGAGAGCAGAATCACTACATAAATGTCTGCTAATAGTAATAACTGATGAACCAGCTACGGTAGTTATAACAATTTGCAAAAAAGAGAAAGATTGCATTGTCATGTTGTTAAGAGTTTCACTAGCAGTGAGGAGATATAGAGGTGTTTGGGATGCTCCACTTCCTCTCTTTAAGTACACTTCAGATGCTGGCAATCTGCTTATCAGAATAAAATAACCTTAAGCCAACAAACAGTAACCATGAAATGCATACATGAAGAAGCAGTAGAAACTATATGATGTGTTTTAAGAATTTTTTTAATGTTTTTTTTTTTGTGTGTGCATCTAAATATAATGCAGATTTATGGTTTCCCTACCTGTCAAGATAAATATATCAGTGATCAAAACTATATGCATGATAGCTAAACACTAGGTGTGTCAGTAAACTTTCATGTTAAAATCAGAAGTCAATCCATACTAGATGAATAAACAGAGAAATTTACCTCTCTTTTTCTAGCTCTTCTAAATAACCAGTGCTTTCTCTGCTTCCATTCATAAATCCTCTTCTTGGAAATGATCCCATGGGAACAGGACTGCACTCTCCTGAACGGCTTGACACAGACCCTTCCCGGCTCCCATATGAACGCATGGACACCTTTGGCCTTAACTTCACTCCAGGGAAGTTGGTACTTTCCAAGTTCAGTTCTGGGTAATAAAGAACAAAAACACTTTCAGAGCTGAAGTTCAGCAGCACAAATTATAAGGCTCGTTTCTATCTTAATTTCTTACTTCCTGAACAAATCCACAATTTTGCACTGGAATGCACAGCAGCACATAATGTGAACAAAACCAATCTTAATGGTACCCTTGGAGAATACTAGTCATCTGAGCAGATGGCCAAGCTGCAATCCTGACAGTCAGAACAGTATCCCCACAGAGGCCTGCCCACCTCTTTCCCAGAGGACTTCAGAATGGGCAGAGTTTTGCATAAATGTCATATTAATTGTTCTTGTGGCCCACTTCCGAATAGCTTCTTTCTCAGAGATCCTGCAAATGCTTCACTGTCATGTAAGCAATGACAACTCTGTTCACCACAAGGCCCTTAAATGTAGACATCCCCTGTGATTTTTCTGGTTCAGTGGTAGGGATAATGGATGTATACAGGGAGTCAGTGGTCTTGGCTTGCTTTTTACTTCCCATATGCACATTCCAGCAGATACTCTAGGGGAAGGGAGGCATCCATCTGCAGCACGATAGACACAGTTCCAGTAACATGACACGGAGAGGCACGCTGACAAGTTTAGAAAACTGGTGGAACTAATCCACCATTAATTTAATCAATTTTTTTTTTCTGGAAAACTGAATGAAATGCAAGTTGTATCAAAAGAATTAATATGAAGCCTTAACGTAACAGTAGCAAAAGCACAAAAGCAGCACAGGAATGTCTTTTCTTGGAAAATGTCTTAAAAAGCTTAGCAAACGTAACGGGCACTGAGACTGTGCCTAACTATCAAAGTCAGCACTGGAAAGAAGATGCAGCTGAGTTAGAAAACTTCATCCTGAAGAAAAAACAACTGACAGACAAATGAACCTACTTAAACTATCATTCTACATTACCTTTAAGTCGTTCCAGTAAGTCAATCTGTCCAGAAGATGCCATTGCCTCATCTTCAATACTTCCTTGTAGCTGTTTCAGCACCTCCTGTAAGAAATTAAGCTTAATTAAGAAATCCTTACAATAATAAACGATTAAGTAAGTACATCTTATCCTGCCCTCAAGTGCACATTTATGTAACAGCTACCGAGACACTGATGTAAAATATAATTCATGTGAGCACTGATCAACTGTCTTAATTTTACTTGCCATCAAATCTCTTCTACGGTATTTCCCTAAGCACTGTCACGATGTAAATTATATCCTGAATAACTCATCCTCTATGGCACTCCAATCTACTGGCTTATTTGAAAGTTCTTCTAAAAGTAAGTATCAGTTATCTTGAATTTACAGATGGAGAAATGGAAGCACAGAGAAATCAGTTAAATTTCTCCCTGGTACCTAAAGTTAGTCTTGTAAAAATAAAATTTTGATACATAACCAGAAGTTCCAGAAGTGTCTTGAATACCACATTTTTTAAACCTCAAAGATATAACAGCAGAAGTAATCCCCAGGATTTCTTTTCTGCAGGGTGTTAGCACCACTGTAAACTAGCAAGATAGTCATATTATTCTTACACTACTACTTCTACCACCACCACACCTGTGAGGAAAAGACTTAAAATTCCTTCAAAGTGTCATATGATTTGGCTTATTACTACTACTGCTACTACCACACCTACAAAAAAGAGATTCAGGACTTCCTCATGGAGTTGAAGCTTCAAAGCCAAGAATACTGCCGTGTGCTATTGAAACTATGTATGACAAAATTATACAGCTGAAGGAACATACTTCTAATGCACAAAAGATTCACAGTAAACACTGACTACTACACTAAAAGGGGCCTATAAGCCCCCAGGCCCCTAATGCTCAGTGGCCTAAATTCAGGTAGAAAATTAAATGCAAGTTAGTGAATGCCTTTTCTGTATCATAATGGCAGATACATCAATAGCAAAAATAAATTGAAAAGACTGGCCACGGGGCAAAAAGCCCTTACTGGAATGTAAAATATCATTTTTCATACTGTGGCACAGAAAATATTTTTAGAAGCAGCAATTGTCAGGAAATCAAGACAATTCCGAATGATGAAAGGTACTCCATACTTTTCATACATAGACTCTACACCCAGAATTGTACTCCTCTTCAGTCCTGAAAACTAATGAATTTTAGACAATTTAAAAAAATCTCCACATCACTGTTTTGCTCTTTTAAGAGCCTAGCATACCTTACTGTCAACATTAATGATTCTTGCAACTGGTACAGAAGGTACCTTTTAAATGCATTTTGCTCTTTTCCAAGGAAACAAAATGGCATCTACAAGCAGCCAAGATGTTATTTAAACAGACACACTACTGAGCTTTTCTGTTTTCGAAGTCGCATTCCTTGTACCAAAAAAAAAAAAAAAAAAAAAAAAAGAAAGTAAAAGGACTTTGAGTAAAGAACCGCATGGGGTTCTGGGGACACAATCTCCAAGCACTACACTCGGAGCAAACAGCAGCAGCACAGTCACTGCAGCTACCCACCACGTAATAACATGCCAGTACTCTAGGAAGAGGATTTCTGGAGTACAGACACACTAATTTTGTTTATGCTGTTTTGTGGAAGTAATTCTGCAGGCAAAGTTGAGGCAGTATTTCCCAGTTTACACATTGCTTGACTGATGAAGTCAAGGTGTATGTCCACATTCCCATCTTAGGTTGGGTCAGTCTCCCATCAGCCCCACCAGCTGTACTTCAGTTCACATCAAAGGGTGATCTCAGTGCGTGAACCACACTCCTTTTGAATCAGACCAAGCCAGCAGCTACACTCAAGACTGCTAATAGGCATCCACTCCACAGGACCCAGCCAGAGCTAGTTCAAAACCAAAATCCCCTGAAACATATACAGCATGCACACTAGGTTCTCAACATAATTCACTTACAGATCTGCTCTTACTGCACTACCTGTTAATGCTGGCATAGCCTTTGGGATCAAGTCTGGTGTGATAAAATCACTATTGTCAGAAAGACAACTCCACTGTGCTTCTGCATTTAAGTACATTCAAGGGCATCCTCGTCAGCCATACGGCCCAGCCATCTCTATACATAACATCTGCCTTGTCAGCAAAGTCAGACAAACAAGTAATCTGGTGTTTTTCAAAGAAGGACTCCTATGTTATCTGACATAAGGGCAGATAACATTTGCAGAGAGCCATCTTAGCTTAAAAGGGCAATGTAGATACATGGAGTGGTCTTGGGAGTTTTGCAGGCTTCTGAATGACCTTTCAACTCCGATAAATTTAGAAATAACTAACGTATCCCTTTGATTTGGGAACAGCACCTCAGTGCAGGGAAAAGACCCAACCCAAATTTGCAACCCCTCCTCCTGCTCCTTTCTCAGAAGCCTCTCTCACCCCCCTGCACAGCGGTTCCGCTATTTCAGAAATCATATGTTCAGGATACTTTCCTACACAGTGAGTCTTCCCACTTCAAGGGACCATATGCACAGTTAAGTGGAAATACTATCAGCTTACATGACTGATGTGTCCACGCAGCTAGGGACTGCTCTTTCTGAATACTGGCAACAGTTAAACACCATACTGCATCACCTTTCTCAATTCTCTCTGCTATACAGATCATTAATTTAGGTTGCAACCTTCAGATTTTAAATTATTGCCTTTTCTTCAACAGCACATGCGTTTTTTTCAAGTTAGGACGTAAAGCTTTCTTTTCTATATTTTTCTACATTTCTTTTCTACAGCACCATTGCTAAGGTAACAACGTCTTTATGAGGCTATGACATCAATTTCAGACTCAATCACAGCATGCTCTGCAGTCTAAGCTGATGAACCAGACAAAGGTTAGAGAAGGAGACGCAGCCCCTGGGGCAGGTACTGGTGGAAAATGAAGCAGTGTGCTAAAATGACAAACTGGGGAATTTACAATTTTACTTGAATAAAGGAACAGAGAAGTTTTCTATCTAACCCATCTGAAGGAAATACAGCAAGTTATCTACTACTGTGATAATGTAAATTTTTATTTATTCAGTTACAATAACTCCAAGACTCAACACTAATGCTATTTACTTGCAGTTCTCCCATTTTTCCCCCAAGATTAACACAATGCTCTGAAACCATACTTTTCCACAGTAATTTTATATTACTTCTGATATCACGACTGCTAAATATTGTAATATCTTCCCAATGAATAAACCTGAATCAATTTAACTAAAGTTAAATTAATATTCTGTTTAGTTCTGCAAGTTTGAATAAATACATTAGTAGTAGTTTACAGCATTATTCTAAACAAATTTTGACTGACTTAGTAGTGACTTACTGATAACACGCACAAATGTATCTACAAGGAAGGCTGCAAAAGTTTTTTTCCTGTTCTTTTAAAGAATGTAAGTCAAATTATTTTAATGGTCACTTAAATATAACCTAGTTTATCTTGTCCTGCTGGAGAAGTACAAAAGAATGCTCTTGGAAATGGAGCTGTCCCTATGACTCATCATCATTTAAAAAGGTTTCTGTCTTCACAGTCTCTGGACTGTGAAGTACAGAAACAAGTGTCAGTTGTTTTGGTTTTTTTTCACTCTGAATATAGTCCTGACCTTACAACTGCTTTATGGGTAATTAAATAAAAAAGAACAGACCCTTCAGCAAGTAACTGGAAAACTACTGAGAAGAAAAGCACCATAAGTAACAGTACATGCACCCAGCTAAGTGGCAAGGGTTGTAAATAAAATTGCTTCAGGGCTGTGAATGTATTCAAGCTGCTAATAAAGAATGGGATCACAGAGGAACAACACTAACAGTGCCAGATGTCAAATCCCAACGAGTTAAGATTTAAAAGTATATCAAATTTTTGAGGACTGTAAGTATTAATATTCAGATTTAGAAATATTTCAAAAGATGCTGTCTGTAAAAAGACACTCTGGTTTAGACATCTGCCTCTGCCTGGCAGGAAAAGGAGCACTGATGACAATGCAGACAAATTAGGTACATCTGGTATTCTGTAAACACTACTTGCTCCCCCCTGCCTAGTTTTAAATACAATGAGTTTTATTACTTGTATTCACTTTTCTAAAAGTTCTGTGTATCCAGTGAATGCCAAAATTTATCAAAATCATCATGAAAATTAAATACATAAACTTGCTGGCAGCAGTACAGCAGACATACTCACAGGCTAGTATCAGCTGGAATACTAAGCCTGTAAGACATTTTGAAATTTACTGGATATTTTAAAGGTAAGCATGAGTCTACATTTAAAAAGACTTTCAACAAAAACTCACTCAACAACCAAGTTCTAGTAAGACACTCTTCATACCTGTTCCTCCTTTTTAGCTAATAACTATGCTTGGTTATTAGCCTGTGTGAAGAGAGATTCCTGCTATCTGCATATATATACACACACAGAGACTTCACTGTGTTTCTTTCAGTGTTTGTAAACAAAACCAAAACTGAGTTATCCTTCAGTTTAGGTTTTTTAGGTTATGCTTACCTTGGTTACCACCACATTTACAACGTTTGAGTATAATAACAGGTTTAGCTGCACAAATACAGAAAGTGTTTACAGTTTCAGACAGTAATTGAGCATCTATCTTGGCACAATACAGGATGTGAATAACGCACACTGAATGACTCAGAACTATTCTTTTTAACCAAACCAGCAGTATTTTTAAATGATAATATTTCCGACAGCATCTGTACCCATGTTTTTAACCCAATATGATTAAAATACAATTGCACTCTAAAACAAACATGATTTGTGAAGTTCAAACCAATGTTGCACATTGTTTCACATATTACTTGTTTAAAAGGGCAGAAAAAAAGGTAACACACTACAGGTACACCCGTCACACACATTCAACAAAAAATCAGATGTCAAAACAGCGGAGGGGACGGACACCAGAACACTATTTTCTATGCATTTATAGATAGCAAAAACTTAATTTACAGGTCGTACATGACCCCTCACATCCATATGAACTGGATAGCACCTTAATATTATCACACATGGTATGACACTCACAGAGGCCTAGTGAGAGCTATGGAAGAGGCCCTTTGCT